TCTTCTGGACTCCACTGTTTTTGTTGAGAAGTTTTGTTTTTTAAGATTTTTTTTTTGAGAGTGAGCATGCACATGCATGCACATGTCCAGGGGAGGGGCAGAGAGAGGGAGAAAGAGAATCTTAAGCAGGCTGCATGCCCAGCATGGAGCCCAGTGAGGGGCTCAGTCTCACCATCATGAGACCATGACCTGAACCAAAATCAAGAGTCAGACATTTAACCAACTGAGCCACCCAGGCGCCCATAAAGATTTTATTTTCAAGCACTCTCTACACCCAACATGGGGCTTGAACTCACAACCCCAAGATCGAGAGTCACACACTCTACCATCTGAGCCAGCCAGGGGCCCCAAGAAGTTTGGTTTTTTAATAATTATTCATATCTGGTCATTTGCCCTTTTTTCTGACATAACATTATCTTCTCATGATCTTTGAGGGTTTGGCTACAGTGTGTATATGTGTATTTCTTCCATTAAGCTTTTTCAAGGCTTGTGCTCCTGAGGACATGGGTCTTTCATCAATTCTGGGTAACTTTTAGCCCTACATCTGAAGATACTGCCTTCTGTTACCCTCTTTTCTTCTGGCATCCCAGCTGGATGGATCTTTATATTCTGTCCCCTAGGACTCTGCTCTTTCATGTTTTTTATCTTTTCCTCTCTCTTTGTTGCACAGATTTGCCCTCTAGTTAAATAATTTTCTTTCAGCTATGACTAGTCTGCTATTTAATCACCCACTAAGATTTTAAACTCTTTTGACTCATTTCTATTTCCAATAGTAGCTTACTATTATGTTTTAAATTCCTTACATATTTCTTAAAAATGTTAAGCATATTTCTTTTATGCTCTGGGTCTCTTCAATCTAAATGCTGTACTTGTGTGGAGGCAAAGGGTTGTACAGTTCTGTTATTGCATTAAAATTTTTTTTTAATGTTTATTTACTTATGAGAGAGACAGACAGCAGGGGAAGGGCAGAGAGAGAGAGGGAGACCCAGAATCTCAAGCAGGCCCCAGGTTCCAAGCACAGAGCCCAACTCCGGGCTCAGACTCACAAACCACAAGACCATGACCTGAGCCGAAGTCAGACACTTAACCAACTGAGCCACCCAGGAGCCCCTGTTACTGCATTTTTTTGGTTGATTCTTCTTCATGGGGCCTTTTTCCCATGGTAGTTCCTAATTAGAAGCTCTATGGCTGGTCCTAATACGTGTGAATCTGAGGGACCTGGGTCAAGGCTGTGTCCCACAGATGGGTTTAGACTCCCTTGGAGTGCTGCTGACTTAGAAGCACTTCAGATCCAACTGCCCAGCAAGGAGCTCTTTGAGTGGGAAGAGACAATAAATTCAGACTCTGAGGCTGAACAGGGCAGGCTTGTGGCAGATTCTTAGGGAACATTCTTCTTCTTTATTCCCTCTAGCCACCATCGGAGAGACGACAGAGTTCCTTGTCAGCTCCGTCTGCTGGCAAATTGATTTTCCCCTAATTTACACTTTGAGGGTTAGGCCTTCAGGGCTCCTTCACAGGAGTTTGCGGGCGGTGTCAGTTCCAGCTCCCCACCTCCTCCGGCCTGAAGCCGCGTCCTCCTCAGCCCTGGTCAGCTCGGGAAACCAAGGCTCTTGGTGCTGGTCACAGAGTCCTGAGGTAGCCCGTAGCTTCCGGGCTGCCTTCCATTCTGGTTTGACGATACTCTTTCGGTTTGGGCCCCTGTTGATTTTTACTTTCTAGAGATCAGCATTTAATCTATGCATTTAAAAGGCTGTTTTAGGGGCGCCTGGGTGGCTTAGTCGGTTGGGCGTCCGACTTTCGCTTGGGTCATGATCTCGCGGTTCGTGGGTTCGAGCCCCGCGTCGGGCTCTGTGCTGACTGCCAGCTTGGAGCCTGGAGCCTGTTTCAGTCTGTGACCCCCTCTCTCTCTGACCCTCCCCTGCTCACGCTGTCTCTCTCTCTCTCTCCTAGAAATAAATAAAAAAAAAAAAAAAAAAAAAAAGGCTGTTTTATATATCTTACTCAGCATCTCTAGGTGTTTGGAGAGGAACGGTTCTCAGACTAGCTAGACTCACACTATAGGAAGTTGAAGCCTTGTATTTTGTTTCTATCTAGAGTATAGCTAAGTATTGATAATCTGATCCTTGGGATGTTTTGGTTCTTAAGAACCATAACACTGACTAATGATCATATTAAGTAACATTACCTCATAATGTTTATTTACTTATTTTACATTTTTTTATTTTTGAGAGATAGAGAGAGACAGGGCACAAGTAGGGGAGGGCGGAGAGAGAATGAGACATAGAATCCAAAGCAGGCTCCAGGCTCTGGGGTGTCAGCACAGAGCCCAACACGGGGCTCAAACCACGATATCATGACCTAAGCTCAAGTCAGACACTTAACCAACTGAGCCACCCAGGCGCCCCAAAATGTTGGTTTATTAAAAAGCATGTGTACATGCATCACACATAGATATTCAGGCTTCCAGCCCATCTGAGTGATGATTTTTTTTTCTTTCTTTCTTTTTTTTTTTTTAATATTTTATGTATTTCTAGGAGAGAGAGAGAGAGAGAGACAGCGTGAGCAGGGGAGGGTCAGAGAGAAAGGGAGTCACAGACTGAAACAGGCTCCAGGCTCCGAGCTGGCAGTCAGCACAGAGCCCAACGCGGGGCTCGAACCCACGAACCGCGAGATCATGACCTAAGCGAAAGTCGGACGCTTAACCGACTAAGGCACCCAGGCGCCCACTGAGTGATGATTTTTATTTTAAAACCATTTGTGCAGAAAAATCACACAGTCATTTTGAATCTGTGCTATGACATGGCAGGATCTCCCCTAAGGGATCTTGATTCCTGATGTGGTGGCAGTCGTAGTCATTACAGATTCGCAGGACAGTATTCTCTTTCACGTCCTGCTGCTGTCAAGGCTGTCCATGGCTCCACCGCATTCCAGCCCTGGCTTCCCTCAGAGCAGCGCCAGTGGATTCTGCTCACGGAATCAGCACTCATGTTTTCCATGCCGCAGACGATAAAGTCCTCTTGTTTTCCTTCTCCACAAGCCAGCCAGGCCTTCTGTCTGTGGGGCCCGTGGAGCCAGGCCCAGGGAGCGCACAGAGCAGCGAGGCAGGGCCGGGCCTCAAGTCACGCTTGGGCGTGAATCCTAACTCTTGACTCCCCCAGCGCTGTGTCCTTAGACAAACCACTTAACCTCGGCCAAACGGCAGGAACCATAGCACCTGCCCTCACAGATGTCCAGGGAGTCCAGGCGGTAATACGTGTGAAGCGCTTACCCAGCCGCGGGGCTCAGGGGATGCCCAGTAAAGCAGAGCTGCCGGGCCCTTTCCTCTTGCCATCATCATGCCAAGCAGGTCTTAACAGAGTCTTCTTTCTCCATCAGGGTTTACTGCCTTCCTGCCCGTTGCACTTGCCACTTCTCTCCACTAGGCACACACCACCTCCGGCCTGAACTATTGCCCAAGGCCCCCGGCTGGTCTTGCCGCCCGGTCACACTTCCTCCTCCTGCTGGGCTGCACCTGGTCCGGGTTATCGGAAGCACTTCTGACCGATACACTGGCAAAGTCAGGAATCTTCCAGGGCTCCTCTTTGCCTTCCAATAGCTTAAGATCCAAAGCCCTTCCCCTACATCACGATCTCATCAGATATATTTAGAGCCCCTGAGAACACCCTGAAAGCTGTAAAGTACCGGATGAAAGTGAGCACAGTCATCACCACCCCCATCGGCTGTAGGCGGCTCTTCATGTGCACGGCTCGTTGCCACAGCTAAGCTTTAAGAGGGAGGGACTGCGACCTACTTTGGTTTATATTACCATAGCAGCTGACACAGTACCCTGAATGTGGAGGGCATACCTCCATATTTGACAGATTGAATACCATGTAAATTACTACATCCAAATGTAAGGATCAAAGTGGTTTATAGGAGATCTTTCTGTACGTCTTAGCAGGGTCAAATGGTTGTGTAATTTTTCTGAATGAATGGTTTACTAGTCAGTGGGCCCGGAAGCCTTGAATATCTGTGTGCACTGCTTGTACATGTGCTTTTTTTGTTGTTTATTTTTGATGGGGGAGGGGTAGAGAGAGACGGAGACACAGAATCCCAACCAGGCTCCAGGCTGTCAGCACAGAGCCTGACACGGGGCTCAAACTCACAAGCGGCAAGAGTATGACCTGAGCCAAAGTCGGATGCTCAACTGACTGAGCTACTCAGGCACCCCTTGTACATGTGCTTTTTAATATACCAATGTGTTAAGTTTGAATTAGTGTTATTTAATTTGATGATCGATTTAAGAGCAAATCCACTTACAAAGCACTTTCAGGTGCATCGTCCCCTGCTTTGCGGCGAGCCTGTGCAGCAGGCAGACCAGCGACCACAGTGGTTCAATGACTTGTCCGTGTTATGAGAGAGGAAGGCCGAGCTTGGAGCTGGGATAGATAGCTCTTCGTCCTCCAGACTCCTGTTCTCAGCAGGAAGTACCTCTCCAAGCCCCTTAATTCTCTCTTGATAAGCGCTCAGAATATTCACCCTCAATTGATCAGCATTTCCTTCATTAAAAATGTAGTTTTTTTAAATTTTGTCATTTCAAAGATTTAAGACCTAGAGGGGCACCTGGATGGCTCAGTTGTTTAAGTGTCCCATTTTGGCTTAGGTCATGATCTCATGGTATGGGAGTTCAAGCTCCACATGGGGCTCACTGCTGTCAGCAAAGAGCCTGCTTGGGATTCTCCTTCTCTCCTCTCTGCCCCTCCCCCACTCATGCTTTTTCTCTCCCCCCCCAAAATAAATAAAATAAACTTAAAAATAATGCAATAAAGATCTAGAACAGAAAAGGAGGGTTTTAACAGGCGTCATTGTTTTTCTGAGTCCTCTACATTTTCAGTCAGGACTTTTTGTATAGGCTGCAGCCTGAAGAAGCTTCTGCCTCCTTCCACTTCCATGGGTGATGTTTACGTTTTGGAAGCTGGCCTGGTTACAGGTCCTTTGGTCTTGAACATTTGCTCTCTTAGGGGAAAACGGAGCCCATCACTGTGGTGAAGCTGCTGGCCTGCTTCGACGACCTCGTGGCCGCGGGCACAGCCTCTGGGAGAGTTGCTGTTTTTCAGCTCGTGTCTTCCTTGCCCGGGAGAAATAAACAAGTAAGTACCAGTCTCTTTAGCATTATCTTAACTTCTTGGCCAGGTCCTCCTGGATCTCAAAATGAGAAATCCTCATCGGCCTAGAACGCAGGCCCAGAAAAGCTTAGCCCTGTGCTCTTTATAATCAGATAGCACTTTTGTTCTTGATAGGGCACCTGGCAGAACGCACACTTGGGTAACTTAAATTTTGCTTACTGTTCTCTGGCTGCCCTGGCAGTGTTAGCGTCAGTACCCAGACGGAACGGCGTGCAGGGCTCTGCCTGGAAAGCAAGTTTGGGAAAACCAGCCTCTCCGTCGGGAGGGGGGACTACATAGTCCCTTGGCCACGAGCCCCATCTCACTTCTCTTCTTTCTCTTGCACATTTTTATCATTTGTTCCCAGCTTCGGAGATTTGATGTCACCGGTATTCACAAAAATAGCATAACAGCTCTGGCTTGGAGCCCCAATGGGATGAAATTGTTCTCTGGAGATGACAAAGGGAAAATTGTCTATTCTTCTCTGGATCTAGACCAGGTAAAATTGTTTCCAGAAGTATTTTTGGCCTTCTTAAATTCGGAGAAATTATATCCATAATTACATTTTGGTCAAACAGTTTGTATCCTTAGTCATTGCCCCTTCATAAGGTCAGTGATTATTTTGTGACGTTTTCCTTCAAGGACATCTCACGTTTTCTAAGCGTCGCCTCCTGTGACTAAAGGGTTGGCTTCTGTCTCCGCTGGCCCCTTCCTTCAGAGTGTTCGTCCACCTGTGTCTAGGCGTGGGGTGGGGCCCGGAGAAAAAGAGGCCCTGTCACTCCCGTCTCCCTGAACGGTGTGTAGGGGCCGCGCGAAGCATCGCATGGTCATAACTGTGGTCATAACTGGTCATAACTGGACCGAGGTCAGTACTTTCGGGCAGAGAGCCCCGCCCCCAACCAAGCCCCGCCCCGCCCCTCGCGTGGGGAGAGCGGCAGAGGAGGAGGAGGGCTCGGCCCTCGCGTCTGCTGCCTTGTTTCATCCTCACGAAAGTGAGGCCCCTGTCAGTAGATGAAGAACCCGTGGCCCCGTCACCAGCCCTGGGTCACAAACGGATTCCACACCGAGTTTCTGCTCCGAGGGCCGAGCCTTTCCCGCTGCATGGCTCTGTGTGCACCCGTGTTTCCCGTTGTCACACGGCAGCCCAGCGAGCCTGAGCATTGCTCGCGGTTGTAGGAATTCAGCAGTTACTAGCCGAGCGTGTGCAAGCAGGGGGAAGGGCAGAGAGAGAAAGAGGGAGGAAGAGAATCCCAAGCAGGCTCTGCACTGACCAATGCAGGACTCAATCCCACGAACCATGAGATCATGACCTGAGCTGAAATCAAGAGTCGAACAGATTGAGCCACTCAGGCGCCTTAAAAATAACTATTTTCAAACCAAGTGAAAAGAATGACATTGCTTTATATATTTTTTTTTTAAGTTTTTTTTTTTTTTTTTTTTTACAAATAGTTTATTGTCAAATTAGTTTCCACATAAGACATTGCTTTATATTTTTGCAAATCTCTTTAATGACCGGCTTGGTGGAGGACGGCTGCGTGCTGCATTTAATGTGACGCAGATGTATTGTGTTGGTTAGAGCGTATAAAGAGAATCTGGCCTCACACAGACTGTAGTTGGAACAGGACAAGTATTGTAATAGCCTTCTTAGAGAACTGTGGACACTCTTTAATCTTATCCCCAAACTGACGGATGATGGTTTCTTTAAAGGTCAGTTGTAACTCGGAAGCTGAAACCACACGGGTCATGTTTTCGGTGCTCTGTCGCAGTAAAATCCACTCGTCTGCCTGGCACTGGAATGCCTCTTTGGTCCACGCATGATTTTGTAATATCCTGCATTGGTCACCTGGAAAATACTGATCTACTGAGTGATGCAGATCTTTTCAAATCTTGACCCATTTGATTATATAATATCAGAGAAGGTATCTTTGTAAACACCACCATCCTGATCAGAAAAGTCTTTAGTTACTGGGAATTGGTCAAGTTCACAAGGGTGGATAAAGTTTTCAGTTCTAATCCTCAGTTGAAAACTTGAAATTTATTGTCAACAACGCACACTATTACTCCTTGTCATTAAAGTGACAAGCCTGGTTTGGTCCATCTTGAAAATGTCTGCCAGATACCCAAGCTTGAGTAATTATATTATGTCAGGTGAAAATGGTGTTCTGTGAAAATAAAAAGCAGCTGGTTGAACTCACAGCCCTCATAGTCGAACAAGTGCTTTTCCCCGAGAGGACCAGAAAACCTCAGGACGCAGCAGCCAGGCCACGTGTGCACTGCCCACTTTGTCCCACAAAAGGCAGAACTGTGCGTACCCATGAGCCAGGATGGGATGCGATTATAATCGTCCTGCCGCAGAGACCATCTTCAGTGAAACGCATGTCTTTGCCACGAGCACGTGGTGGTGGAGGACACAGTGACAATTAGTGGGCTTATTGCCCCAGTCTGCCCCTGTGGCTTTTGTGTCAGAGCAAATTTCAGCTCAGTGAAAAAGGCAGATGCAACCTAGCATGACAATGAAAATAATTTTGACTTTGCAGACCCTTTGAAAAGGGTCCTAGGGACCCTCCGGACCACACTTTGAGAACCGCTGTTCTCCAGGAAAGCGTTAAGGTTGTTAAGAGTCCCTGTGTCCTGCCTCTCTTCTGTTCAGGCCTCCAGGCAGCACTGGTCGTGAGCTGCATTTCAGGAAGCAGAGAGAAAGCCACATGCAGAAAAGTGTCCTTATCATGCAGTGAACCTTTTCCCCAGCTTTATTGAGGTTCTGATAGTAGTTGGGTTGTTTTTTGTTTTTTTTTTTTTTAAGATAAAGTACAAAGATTTACATAAATAGTTATGGGAGTATGCATGTTTTTGCAAAATTAATACAATAAGTTGAATTCCTTTATAAGCTAAGTCAAAAACTGGAAAGCTACAGTTTACATAACGAGAAATGTGGAGGAAAATCTGCTTTAAAAGCCCTCGGTGTTCTGGGGGAATACCGAGAATCTGTCTGTCTTCATTGTGTCCATGGTTGTAGGATTGTGTGTGTTTGCCAGAATCCAAAATCGTGTATCTTAAAAGGGTGAATTTTATTATATGTAAATTTTACCGGTAAATCTGATTGCTGCTTTCCTCTCCTGCCCCCAAAAGTTTGCAACAGGGCATCAGTATTTCTTACACAATAGAAGAAACTGGTTCAGGAGAAAAGTAACTTATAGAAGCAGATTTTTGACACCAAGAATTAGAGTTTGTGTTAGCAGTAAAATGGCTTCTAGAGTTCTACTTTGTTCTTTGATGTATTTACTACCATTTAAATGTCTTTCTCCTGTTTTTTCTGGCTCTGTCAGTTGGCAAGGATATAATGTCCCCAAAATTGCTTTGAGCTCTTTGTGGGGGACAAGTGTCCTGTGACCTTTGATGACAGTTGTCACAAATAACCTTAGCTGTATAGAAAGTCTCGTTGTGTTCTATCAGTGTAAATAATACTCCTCGTGCAGCACGTTTCTGCCTTGGTCTTTATGGGCTCTTCTCTGAACTCTCCTGAGGACATTTTATTTATTTATTTATTATTATTATTTTTTATTTTTATTTATTTCTAGGAGAGAGAGAGAGACAGCGTGAGCAGGGGAGGGTCAGAGAGAGAGGGAGACACAGAATCTGAAACAGGCTCCAGGCTCTGAGCTGGCTATCAGCATAGAGCCCGACGCGGGGCTTGAACCCACGAACCACGAGATCATGACCTAAGCGAAAGTCGGACGCTTAACCGACTAAGCCACCCAGGCACCCCTCCTGAGGACATTTTAAAAGAAGTTGTACAAAATCTCTAAACGTTTCTTGCCAAACTTGATGTAACCTGAGGTTAGCGTTAGCATTGTTTTCTCATTTCTCTTATTTCCAAATAACATCACCGCAGTGGGTTTACACTGAATCTGTTGGGCATGAACAGCATACGTTTTGAGGCGTAAATTGACTCCACATTGAGGTGGGTTTACCTGCACTCTCCCCAGGGCGTCTGTAACTCCCACTTGGTGTTGGAAGAGCCATCTTCAATCGTGCAGCTGGATTACAGCCAGAAAGTGCTGCTCGTGTCTACACTACAGAGAAGCCTGCTTTTTTACACAGAAGAAAAGTCTGTCAAGCAAATTGGAACACAACCAAGGAAAAGGTAAGTGTCACACGTGCCCCAGCGTGGCGGCTACAGAGGGACCTTAAGTTTTCGTAGGGTACCTGTTTGCCGTGGGCAAGCCCACAGCCGCTCTAAGCCTGGGGTCCCTCGACAGGTCCTGGCCTGCCTGGCCGCCTGGCCCAGCATCAGACGGGAGGAGTGCGTCCGTCTCGTTCTGCTGCAGGGCCTGCAGGCATGGCCAGTCTGCCTTGAGTGCAGACTCTGGAGAAGTCTCTGAGGTGGTCAGCTCTGGGTCCGCTCCTGTGCGGCCACCCTCCACCTCAGGAGGGGTGAGGGTCCCCTCTGCACTGTGCGGGCCGTGCGAGGTTGGGGGTGCCTGGTAGACGAGGCGGATGTGAGCCCATCATCATGGACACCGGAGCTGGGTGTGGGGTGCCGTCACACTGCTCCCGGGCCTGGGGGTGATGGCAGACTCCCTGAGGGAGTGCGCGAGGGAGGAGTGGGGAGGCTCTGGAGGGAGGCTTCCAGGCTGAGAGCTTGTCGCGCATTTACCTGCCGCCTGGAAGGGCACTGGGAGACGGGCTAAGCCAAGTCCAGCTGCCCGCCAGCCGTGTGGGAAGGGGCAGCCGAGCGCAAGGGTGACCTCCCTGCGGGAAACATGCTTGTAGAGCTCGGGGCCAGGTTTGTGTGGCGGTGGGGACAGCAAGAAGGGGCTGGATAGGGTGGTGGGGCCACCCCTCCTTCTCAGCAGAGGGACAGAGAGACGAGTGGGGGCGGGAGGAGGGGGTGGGAGCCAGCAGCTGGGAGATCGGGCAGCGGGATTTGGAGACGCTCTCGGTAAAGGGGCACTGGCACTGTTGCCTGCGGAGAATCAGGGGGCCGGCGTGGCAGGTGGGCGGGGGGCTGTGGAGAGCAGGCTGACAGGGAGACGTGGTGGGGTTGGCCGTGCCCACAAGGGAAGGCTCATGGAGGCTGGTGGTGACAGCTGTGCTGGTGACGGATGGCCCAGAGAAGGGAGGTCAGATGGGTGGAGCGTGACAGCCCTTAGCTCATAAAAGATCTGGTCATGCCTCCCTTTGGCTTCTGTTTTCCGTGCTGAATACCCCCTCAATTCCATCAACAGCTTGGCCTTTTTATCACAGTAATCTCCCTGTGACCAGCCCCTGGACACACAGTAGAATTTGGAGCTTGGGCCCCTGGTCCTGCACATCTTCATCTTGCCTTTCCCTCTGCCAGTGCCCCCTCTTCTGCCTCGTAGTTTGTCCTGGCTCCTCATCAGTGTCCTGCTGCATCCTGTCTTTTTGGAAGGATAGTGGAATATAAAGAGAGAGATAAAAACCAGTTATTTTTCACGTGGATAAGCCAGTAGTGTTTCTCTTAAAACCTGGTCTTCTGACCTCTTGTGTGGAAACGTAAGCACTTTCCATGAGCGCCTCCTGGTGCCTATGAGCAGTCAGGTCCTCTGGCCTGCAGACACGAACAAACGTGTTCTTTTTCTCTCGGGAAGTGTATTTCCCTGAGCCTTAGAGAAGTGCTGATAACAGAATAAATGGAAACGTTGTTTACAGGCTTGTCTGGAGCCCAGTGAAGAGGTCTCAGTCAGAGACACACATTAAGTCATTATATACAGGTGACATCGAGACCTCTGACGCTGGGTGAGTTCACGAAGGGACACTGCGTATTCATGTGACATATAGAAGTCCTCACCGAGTCTCTGCTCTGGGCCAGCACCTTCTCAGTCTGAGGAGACAGCTGTGAACAGGGAAAATCTAATTTCTCAGGGCTCCCATTCCTGGAGTGGGAGGCTGACATTAGAGAAAAATGTTCTAGAATGTTCGGTATGATAAATCAGGATCTGGACTAGAAAGGAGGGAGCAGGGGACACGGGCATGTGTTCGGGTATGCAGGTGGGGAGGCTCCTCCGCGGCGGGGACCAGAGCGGATTCCTGAAGGGGGGCAGGAGGGGTCACAAGAGGACCTTGGCAAGAAGCAGGGGCAGTGTGCGCACTGGGTGTGTGAGGGTTTGGGGAACAGCGAGGCCAGGAGTATGTGGAGCAGAAGAGGGGTTGAGGCCTGTGGGCCTCACTCGGCGCCTCCCCTCTCCCAGCACGCCAGCCGTCGTGCGAGGCTTTGACCAGGGCAAGTCACCCTTGCTGCCCTGGAGGGGACAGGAGCGGTGGCTCTGGATAGCCCGGGGCTCCTGCCAGGGTAGGGCGCTGGGAATGCTCCCAGGGCAGGGCTGACGGGGTGGCTGACACGTGCTTCCGGGGAGTGAGAGAAGGAGACTAGTCGGAGGCCGTGGCCTGAGTGGTCGGGTGAGGGGTGGGGGAGAGGCTGGAACAGTGTTGAGGACAAGGTGGCACTGTCTTCTTCCCCATGGAGGGCAGGAGTGTGCGTGGGAGCCCAGAGCGGGTAGATGGCGATTAGAGCTCACCGCAGGCGTGAGCGTCACTGGAGAAGGCTGAGGGTCTCTGTTCTGGGCGTCGGCAGGGACAGGAGCTGAGAAGGGTCAGGAGTGAGAAGTCAGAGGCGACTCAGAGGGAGCGTCACGGGGCCGGCAGCTGTGTCAGAGCTGCCAACGGCCCTGAGAGGTGGCCTGAGACAGACCTTCGCATCTGGCAACCTGGTGGCTACGCACAGGCTTGCTTGGGAGAGAGGCCAGGGGAACGGTGTGCGGAGACAGCTGGTTTTGTCAGAGGGAGCACAGGGGGCCGCCTGGCGGGGAGCAGGTCTGGTGGGAGGTTTGTAAAGATGGGCCATGCGGCTGGCACTGGGTGGCTGGTGCGGGCCAGCACGGAGGACGAGATGGTGGTGCCTGGCGTGGCCTCCCTGGAGCCCCGCTGGTGGGCGAACCCAGAGGGCACGTGGCCCGGACGGGGCCGGGCATTCTTGGAGGGGAGCAGGGCACGGGGCAGGTATAGTCGCAGGCAGGGGTCCTCGGGGGGAAGTCTGTCCTTTTCAGTTGGAGGCGGTGACCCCCCTCAGACTGGACCAGGTGAAATACGTGTTGTGCCCAGAAGGTCTCGGAGGCCCCAGCCGCCCCAGGCGTGCCGTCTTTGCTGTCCTCAGGGTTCATCTCCAGTCTGTGTCGCACCGTTTCGCACAGGACCCTCCTGCTACCTGGTCCGTGTTCCTGCTGTCCGGTCGTCGGGGCGCCTGCACGTCGCAGTCGTGCGGAGTGTGTGCCCCAGCAGAGCCAGCATCGAGTTCTGGAGCAGGGTCACCACCTCACCACCCTCGTGCCTGCGTGACGGCCTGCGGGCAGTCGGCCGCTGAGCCTTGTGTCCCCCATCTTAGGTTTCCATTGTCCCGTGTCGTGCCCTCTGTCCATGCTCAGCATTTCAGGTCTCTGGCACCAGAACTTGTACGTCATGTTAGAAAACACTCAGGGGTGCCTGGGGGGCTCGGTCAGTTGGGAGCCCATGATTTGGGCTCAGGTCATGATCTCACAGTTGGTAGGTTTTAACCCCGCATCGGGCTCCGCGCTGGCAGGATGAAAACTGCTTGGGATTCTCTCTCTCTCTCTCTCTCTCTCTCTCTCTCTCTCTCCTTGCCCCTCCCCTGCTCATGCGCACTCTCTCTCAAAATAAATAAACTTAAAAAAACATAAACACACTTTTCATATTAATGTGGTTCATAAAGAGAATTAAAGTTGGTTTTTAAAGTCATCAATGATTTTTCTGGAAATCACCTCCACCAGAATTAAGGAGGTAGGTTAACTTAGTTATGATTTTAGAATCTGCAGTGTGTAGACCTTAAAGGATGGAGTCTGAGGGTCCCATCCAGAATGACATCAGCAGGTGCTGCAGAGTTGTACCGCGTGGGTAGATGGCAGCCAAGCCAGGGCTTTAGGACAACCCGCCCCTTACCCTGGCTGGTTATCCCCAGCTTCGCGGCCTCCCCCGGCTCACTCGCCGCACGTAGCAGTTCCTTAGAGCTGGCCAGCCGCCTGCCAGGACCCTCTCAGCCTGTTACATCCCCCAGAGACTCCGTCCGCCCCTCAGCCGGGCAGTAGTCCCTGGTCTGGCCCTCTCGTGCCCCAGGCAGGACACGTCCCATCTGGACTTGTCGGGCGGCCCTTGGAGCCTCAGATACAGCGCCTCCCAGAAGCCCTCGTGGCAGTTCCCGCACATGTGCCGTCCACCACAGTGTGTTCGCAGACCGGGCCAGGGTCACCTCCTTCACCTTTCACGTTGCCCCGTAATGCGGGAACTCCCCACGCCTTTGTTAAAATGAACATGTTAGTGACCTAAGGTGAACAAATCAAAACAGGAGTGACGAGGTTTTTCAGAAGACCTGTAAATAGAAGGAAAACATTTAACAAACAGTTGGATCACCAAGTACAAATTGATTTGACAGGAAGGACAGGAAGAAGAGATTATGGGCTGCCCTGCAGAATTCCTTTGGATCTATTTAGAGAATCTTTCCAGAACAGATCCACCAAAGGCAGTAATCAAGCACGATGCTGACTATGGTGTTGTCTGTGAATGATGTACAGCGCAGAGCACTCTTGGCTAATCTAACAAGTCTTCATATCAAAGTGAATTCAATATTCAATGTCCTCCTTGGACCTTTTCCAGAAGGATTGAGTTACTGGAGCCAGAGGAACCTAGGGAGATTAACTAAAGTGCAGAGAAACGTCCAGATAAGTTTATCTGTGTGGCTGTGTGAGATGCGCTCTGGAGATAGCCCCTCTGGAGGGCTACACGGTGGCACCCGACAGGGCGCTGCTGTGTGCAGAGAGGGTGACCAGAGTGTAGGGTACGCGGAGGGAGCACACACTGGGGACACGGATGGACCCACAGGTAGCTCCTAGCTGTGGGTGCCTGTAGCCGTGCGCGTGACCGGTGAACATTTGTGGGGATGTGGCATCACCAGTAGTGCTGGTGACAGAATCGGAGATTGTGTTGTTTAACCCTCATTTAACCTCTGAGATGGGAGGAATTTCCCTTGGTTTGCAGATTAGGAAACTGAGACCCAGGAAGGTTGCATATTACTTAGCAATTCCATGTCAGGGCTAGAAAGTGAGCCCGGCTGTCAATCTAGAGCCAGTGCTCTTTCTACTGTTTAAAATCAGAGAAGTGTAAGAGTGCCTGGTGGCTCAGTATGTTAAGCTTCTGACTCTTGGTTTCAGCTCAGGTCATGGTCTCACAGTTTATGAGTTTGAGCCCCGAGTCAGGCTCCTCACTGACAGCACAGAGACTGCTTGGGATTCTCTCCCTCTGTACGTGCACATGCTCGCTCTCGCTCTCTCTCTCTCTCTCTCTCTCTCTCAGAATAAATAAACATCAAAAAAAATCAAGAGCATTTTGGAGAGAGGATCAGCAGGACTTAGGGCTGGACTGAAACTTTTTTTCTTTTTAATGTTTATTCATTTTTGAGAGAGAGAGAGAGAGAGCGCAAGCAGAAAAGGGGCAGAGAGAGATGGAGACCTAGAATCCAAAGCAGGCTCCAGGCTGCTGTCAGCACAGAGCCCAAAACAGGGCTTGAACCCACAAGCTGTGAGATCATGACCTGAGCTGAAGTCAGACGCTTAACTAATTGAGCCACCCAGGCATCCCTGAAACTTTTTTTTTTTAATTTTTTATTTCTTTTAGAGAGAGAGAGAGTATGAGTGGGAGAGAGGGGCAGAGGGAGGGAGATAGAGAATCCCAAGCACACTCCATGCTCAGCACGGAGCCTGACACAGGGCTTGACCCCACAACTCTGGGATCATGACCTGAGCCAAAATCAAGAGTTGGACAGTCAACTGACTGAGCCACCCCAGCACCCCTCGACTAAAACTCTTAAACCTTGAGGTCTGATAGGAGCCTGAAATTAGGCAAAGACGAAGAGACAGTGAGAACTCAGAGGGGTGCCCAGGTGGCCCAGTTGGGGGAGCATGCAACTCGTGAGTTTGAGCCCCACATTGAATATAGAGTTTATTTAAAAATAGAATCTTAAAGGGGAAAAAAAAAGAACTCTAAGGCTACTAAAGTAAACCTAGGTTGGTATAATCACGTTGAAAACAGTTTGAACTTGTCCTCCAAATCTGAATTTGTTCTCACTTAACAACCCAGGGGTTACGCAACAGAGCAGCAGTTCCGTCTCTGAAAGATCCGTGGCAGACTCTCGTACCTGCGTGCTGGGAGGCCTGCGTGAAAATGCTCGGAGCCCTGCCGTTTAAAATAGAAATGTGGAGGGGCGCCTGGGGGGCTCAGTCGGTTAAGCCTCCAACTTCGGCTCAGGTCATGATCTCACAGTTCGTGGGTTCGAGCCCCACGTCGGGCTCTGTGCTGACAGCTCAGAGCCTGGAGCCTGTTTCGGATTCTGTGTCTCACTCTCTCTCTGACCCTCCCCTGCTCACACTGTCTCCCTCTCTTTCTCTCAGAAATGAGTAAAACATTTAAAAAAAATTTTTTAAATAGAAACGTGGAAATAATGCAAATACACACCAATAAGAAAGTGAATAAGTAACTTGTGGACTCCTGTGTAGCAGTCAAAATGAATGAGTTATAGCTTTTTTATCAGTAAAGATAAACCTTTAAAATATAATCTTAAGGAGCTCCTGGGGGGGGGGGGTTCAGTCAGTTGAGCGTCCAACTTGTGATTTTGGCTCAGATCATGATCCCAGGGTTGTGTGATTGAGCCCCACATGGGGCTCTGTGCTGACAGCATGGAGCCTGCTTGGATTCTCTTTCTCCCTCTCTCCGCCCCTCTTCTACTCATGTGCGGTGTCTCTCTCCCTCCTGCTCTCGCTCTTGCTCTTTCAAAATAAATGAATACACTTTAAAAAAAAGAGCAAGTTGCAAAAGTATACAGATGGCATCATACATTTCTTTATACAGATGAAAGACAATATTAAATTATGTAGTGTTTAGGCATACATAGGTATGTGGTTAAACTGTCAGTAAAAGTAAGAGAATAATAAATACAAAATTCAGTCTACTGGTCATACCTGGGGAACAGAGGGACAGGAGCTTTTTTCGGAGCAGAGGAGAACATCAGCGGTGTCTGATGATTTATTTCTGAAGTTGAGGGATGGATTCCCAGGTGTGCATTTCATTTATTAGACTTTATAACTGTTATGTACCTATAAATATATATATGTAATATAGTGTACATGTGTAATTTATGTGTATAACGTATACAATAAAATATGTATAAAGCATGCATTCTTTTGTGTTAGGTATTTCATAATTTAAAAAATTTTTTTATGTTTATTTTTGAGAGATAGAGTACAAGTGCGGAGGGGGGTCAGAGAGAGAGGGAGACACAGAAACTGAAGCAGCCTCCAGGCTCTGAGCTGTCAGCACAGAGCCTGATGGGGGGCTTGAACCCACCAGCTGTGAAATCATGACCTGAGTCGAAATTGGATGCTTAACCAACTGAGCCATCCGGGCGCCCCCATAATTTTAAAAACAGAAAAAAATACCACGCCTGGGGACCAGAAGGGAAGCAGGTGCTTGTGATGGGTTTAAACTCAGTTGTCGACGTGATGCTCATTCGCTGGGATGCAGGAGTGAGTACAGCGATCAGACGTTAAAAGGAACAGAATTTCCGAGCAGGGGGAGGATAGCCAGACCTGGATTTGTTGGCTTCTGCCTCCATTTCCTCTTCTGTGACACAGGAGCTATACTGTTGGCCACATGGGGCTGTGGCAAGAGGGCGGGACAAAGCCGGGGACCCAGCACCGTAATGGTCGCCATGAATCGGGATACGTGCCTGACGGGTGCACACTACTGAAGGGGTTGCAGGAAGTAGGAGACAGAGACCTCGTCCTCTGTGGGCAGAGACGACAGTAAGGTTCCATTAACAAAAAACATAGAAGAGGTTTTGAGAAAACATTATACTTTTTTGGGCTTAGGCAAAAAATTCTTATTATAGTTGATATCAAGAGTTGACTACCATGACTTTAAATCAGTTGATGTCTGCCTTTTTCTTGTAATTTCAGCACTGGGAAATTCGGAGCTTGTTTTATACCAGGGCTCTGTAAGCAAAGTGACCTGACGCTGTACGCGTCCCGGCCTGGGCTCCGGCTGTGGAAGGCAGACGTCCATGGGACTGTTCAGGCCACGTTTATCTTAAAAGATGTCTTTGCCGGAGGCGTCCAGCCTTTCGAACTGTACCCGCGTTTGGAACCCTCCAACAGGGGAAGTTGCAGTTTACCTGAGAAACACCTGGGGCTCGTTTCCTGTTTCTTTCAAGAAGGCTGGGTACTGAGTTGGAATGAGTATAGCATTTACCTCCTAGACACCATCAACCAGGTAAGTGACGAGATCGTACCACATCTTTGGTGTCCTTAGAATGTTTATCCACAGACTGTCTCTCAGAATGATAGAAGGAACAGTATTGATTCTAATGCTTTTCTTTTTCCATTGAGTCAGTCAAGGAAACCAAGTGGAGGGCTGATTATTTTGTAGATTTGAAGAAATGTTTGGTTTTGGTAGAACCTTCTAGCTGTCTGCCTCTAAGCAGGCATCTCATCTGCCCTGCCTGGAACTTCTTCACTTGGAACTTGAGGACAGGGTGAGTTGGGTTGGGGTCACCAAGCTGCCTTTTAGCCCTGAGTTGGTTTCTCTTCCTAGGGAGCAGTTTGAAAGGCATTTTTGTATTCTTCTTCACACGCAGACAACTTAAGTTTTCTTCTTTCTCTCGGTACTCTTTGTTTGTTTAACGTTTATTTATTTTTGAAAGACAGAGAGAGAGCACAAGGAGAGGGAGGGTCAGAAAGAGAGGGAGACACAGAATCTGAAACAGGCTCCAGGCTTGAGCTGTCAGCACAGAGCCCGATGCGGGACTCGAACCCACGAACTGCAAGATCATGACATGAGCCAGTCAGAGACTTAACCAACTGAGCCACCCAGGCGCCCCATCTCTGGGTGCTCTTTGAACTTGATACACACTTGGTAGTTAGTGGGGTTGGAACGTTTGGTGATCATTCATCAATTCCTTTCTTCTCAGCCCTCACCCCAGTGCTTTCCCAACAGGTGCCGTTAACTTCATCTTAGAGGCAGAGAAACGGAGACCAGGGTGCCCACGTGCTCATCGTGGCTGCCGTCAGAGTCTGTCTGGCCGCGTGTTTGGCAGTTTTCTAACCAAAGGCATATTTCTAGCTGTTCATCACAGTTATTAAAAGTTAACAAAGAATTGAGACGCTTTTTCTCTCTACAGTGAACGCCCTTTTGTTTGTATTGTTGGCTGAAAAGAGAATTTTTTAAAAAATCTTTGCAGAATCGGGATATGCCAGGTGGCCTTAGGGGACACACCCTCCCCCCAGTTGTTCAGAGCTGTGAATCGCGGGGCACGCTGGTGTCCCCCACAGGAGTGCACTCAGGAGGGGACTAGCCCGGGAGCGACCTGCCCTGTGGACGTGTGTACAGAGTGCCGTGGCTGTGATGAGTCCTGGCAGGGCAGTGCCACCGAGGCTGAGCTCGCCAGGGACCATCACCCAAGGAGGTGGTGTCCGAATCTGGGCGGAGGCCACGGCGTCATGGAGGGACAGGGCTGGGGTGTGGGCTGCACTCGGGGCTCCTGCAGCACAGAGCAAGGCAGATGTGTGGGTCTGCCGGCAGGTCCTGCCCAGGAGGGCAAGCTCCATGCCCTCGGGGGCCGGGTGCAGGGGGGGCACGGATCTGAGCTGCTGAGGGTGGGAAGGCGAGCCACCCGCTGGGCCTCGTGAATTTACTGACAAGGTGGCTGACCCCAGGTCATATACCTGTCAGACGTTACCTGCTTGGGCTCTGAATTACTCTTTTTTATTATGAAAAGTTTTTATTTAATCTCTACACCCAGCATGGGGCTTGAACTCACCACCCTAAGACCAAGAGTCGCGCGGTCCCCTGACTGAGCCAGCCGGACATCCCTGCTTTGAATCCCTCTTCAGAAGTTCCAGAAAGTGGCTGCAACACAGTTGTCGTTTGACTTCATTGGACTCCTGCACATGTTTGTGTGTTTTCAACTACTTCTGTTGCCTGGTTGTGTGATTTTCTTTTCTCTTTTGGGCAGGCTACAATTGCTGGTTTGGAAGGATCCGGTGATATCGTGTCTGTTTCCTGCACAGAAAATGAAATATTTTTCTTAAAGGGGGATAGGAACATCATAAGAATTTCAAGCAGACCTGAAGGACTAGCATCAATAGGTTTGTAATTGTCATGAAATGTACTGTGTGTATGTAATTGTAGTTTATAATTTGCAAACCCTACCATTACTTCGCTAGTGAAATGACCAGAGCTTCGTCTAAAGAAGGAAGTATGTGGAGGGTTTCCTGTGATTCTTGAAATACAGTTTACGAGACTTTTCTTGAAGCTTACCTATTTCAGGGCTCACGTCACACAGCGTCCATTTGGGAGAGTGGCTCCATGGGTCTGGGGGGGGCCCTGGGTGAGGAGGGGGAACACAGTACCCACGTGACTGCTGTCTGGAGCTTGGTGACAGCGAGTGGGATTAGTACTCCAAAAGAGAGAGATTTGCCAAGATTTTAGAACACTTAAATCTGTTATCTGGGACGTATCTTTTACCCTTAACACAGTTCTTCCTTATCACATTGATTGTTCTCTCTGCTTTTGACCTTTTTCTGTGATTCGTACAAGCCCAGGTTCTAATGAGTGAAGGATTGTAGCACGTGTTCTCGTGCACACATATGCCCTTTGGGGCTCACCAGTGAGCCTGCTCCTGACGGTGACGACAGCCCTTCCCCTCTGCTCACTCCACCCCTCTCTCCCCCGTTCCCCCCCATCCCCCGTGTCCCTCGCCTTGTTCTCACCGTGTTCCAGAGACTGCTAAGCACATAGCACTCCTGACCTTATAAGGTCTGGAGAACAACCCTAGATGGAAGGTACCAGTTCCATAGATGAGGAGACTGGGGCTTAGGAGGATCAGTTCCCTCTCCCCAGCCAGGCTCCCTTCCTGCCTGGGGCTGGAGCGGCCTCGAACCTTCCTTGCTAACCGCACTCCTGTGGCCACTGTAGATGAGGTGGCCTGCAGGGCACCCCGTCCTGCGGCTGCCAGCCCTCTCAGGGCCCCTCCCACACCTCCCACGCTCCCAGACACTAGCAGGCCCGAAGTGAGGTGTGGGGTGCTCCCGCGCAGAGCCCCCTTCTGGCGGGATGGCGCCCCCTGCACTCTCCCCATTCCTCATTTAAGACCCAGGTCAGGGATGCCTGCATTTTGATACTTTCCCTGAGAGCTTCCATTAAGTCAGGCCTCTCTTCACTTGAGTGCCCAGGGAGGGGCCTCCCCTCCGGCCCTTGTAACCATGGAGCCATTTACTTACTGTGTTCCTTACCCCACAAGATAGGAAACTTTTGCTTGCAAGGACCTTGTGACTCAGCATTGTGGCCCTACACAGCACGCACATGGCACATAGAAAACCCTGAGCATTTGCTAATTCATGGTGTCCCCGTTTCACAGATTAGAAAACCAAGGACTAGGAGGGCAAGTGACAAGCCCCAAACCAACCAGACATATCTTCCGGTTTCTGCTTCTGCCAGCATTTCTCCTCCTCCACCCTTGCCGCGTTGGTCAGAAACGTGGACCCTTTGCTGTAGCCATGGCCTTGCGGTGTCTTGGCCCCAGGGGCACCTTTGCCGTGACCTCTCTCGCCAGCACCAGCTCGCATGTGAGGCCCTGCAAGAGAGGGAGCGGGGGTCCTGGACCAGAGCGGGTGGGCCGGTTGCCAACACCAGGCCTTCCAGAGCGGAGCAGGGTGGGGAAGAGGAGCGCCAGGCGTCAGGCCCCGTGCCGGTGGGCCTCGTGAAGCCCTACTCCAGCCTTTCCTACTTTTCTCATGGTTAGAGCACAAACTGTAGCAAGTAGGAGAGTGTACCAGTCTCGTTGGCCAGGTATTGAGCACTCGGAAAGATGAGTGTCACAAGGGCCGTCTTGGCCCCAAATTAACCATCTCTTAAGAGATGGCTGGTGGGGTTGGGCAGCGTGTGAATTAGCTCTTCAGTCAGAGGGTGAGTCGGGGTAGATATCCCAAATTCTAATCTTTGTGGAAAGTGAATAAGCTCTGACTCTTGAGTGTCTGAGCCGGCGTCCTCATGGTGTGTTCGGGGGCAGTGCGGCCCCTGGGGACAAGTTAGGTCTAGACCACTGCCTTCCGGCAGGACGCTCCCACAGAGATGAATGTGGCCTGCATCTGCACCATCCGGTAGATGGCCACCATCCACGTGTGGCTGCCGAGCACTTGAAACGTGGTAGGTGCCACAGAATTTTCAATTCTGTTTGACTCTGAAGGGAAGTAGCTGCGTGTGGCAGTGGCTGCTGTGTCGGACAGCAGAGCTCTGGGCCAAGGCCTTTGTGAGCCTGTGACAAGTCGATTCCCTGCCCGGGTTCACTCAGAGCAGAACCCAGCCTGTCAGTCCCCAGTGCACACACCACGGTGACGGTCTGCCCCGACGCCCCTCACGAGAGGGCGAGGAGTCCCAGCGGCAGTGTCGGGTACATCGTGGGGACTCGGCCACAGGCGACTGAACGGATAAAGTGGCCCCTCGTCCTTTGTTGACGGTGCTGTGGCTGGACCCATTGTGTCCATTCTCTGTGGTGTCGTGTTGACAAGGACGCGTCACAAAGGCGAGATGACGCGGAGCCGTGGGCACAGAGCCCACTGCCTTGACCCTCTGCTCTCGGACCCTCCCGCTGCTCTCCGCTCGCACTGGACGCAGACTTGGTTAACGCACTTCTCTGGCCTGACTTTGTGCTAGCGGGAAATTACCGTCTTTCCTTGAATTTCAAGAAATAGAATTACAGGTCCATATGTTTTTCAAGTGCCTTTTGAGTAGTGTTACATTAAGGCATAGTCTAAGTATGGGGTATCGCTAAGCCCTTTTTTTAGAGACAGGCCATTTCTCCTCTTCATGAATTATTTGTGAGCTGATGTGAGAAATGCTGTATACTTCGTGGTGTTGCCCAACTATTGAGTTACTTACAGAAGGCAGCTGTAGTGAATCATTTTCCTGAGTGGTACGTGCACTTCCTGGAGCCCAGAATCGTTTGTTGGAATCTTTTGTGCGATTATTTTAGTTTTGTTAGCATGTCTGAGTCCGGCAGGCTGGTTTTCAGGGTTAGCAGGCCTGAAGGGAGCGTGTGGACTCGCTAGTAACCAGTAGTAAAAGCCAACTCTCCTTTCCCAGCACGAGACAGCCTGGAGGCATCCAGGTGCACAGAGCAGCACTCTGGGCAGCGTGCCGAGAAGCCGTCGGGTGCCACGGTTTCTGAGATGAGGCTCAGGGGCTCTTCTGTGGCCAGCTCCGTGGCCAGCGAGCCACGGAGCAGGAGCAGCTCGCTCAACTCCACCGACAGTGGCTCCGGGCTGCAGGCAGCGCCAGAGCCAGGGAAGGGCGGGCAGCCCGCCTCTCAGCGATTCAGCACCATCAGCTCGGAGGACTTTGAGCAGGAGCTCGTGGTGAAGCCGCTGAAAGTGAGAAAGAAGAGGAAGAAGAAGTCAGGTACGGCCCGTGGCACTGCACACACGACTCCTGCTCACGCAGGGGTGCTGCCCTCACGGAGCGAGCACCCACCCACTGTCGGGGGGGAAGGCAGAGAAGGTCTGTGGACAGCACGGGTGCCCCCTCCACAGAGGGGCTCTGCTGTGAGGTATTTCGTAAGTTACAAAGGGGCGCCCCGCACACGTCAGGTGCTTGCTGAGGTTCAAGTCCAGTAACGTGCACCCTGTGGTGTGCTGCCCACCCTGCCTGTAGGTCTGCAAGGCCACTTGCCAGTATTTAAGTGCAAATGTGGACCCGTCCACGTGTACCACACCTTAGGCCAGACAGTCTGTGAGCCCAGGTAGGAAGTCATGGAGACAGAGGGACCGCTTTACGCTTGGCGTCGGCTGTGTCCCAGACGTGGGATCTCACCAGCAGTCATCTAACTCTGCTCCTCGGTCCTGCTCGGCCTCCTTAGATACAGACCCTGCAGCACCGAAGGACAGTCTCAGTCTCCTAAGCGTCTCAGTCATGTTAAACGGGTAGCCTGCAGTTAGTCTGTTCCTTTGCTTTTCCCCCATTAGCATTTCTTGAGCGAGGCCTCAGAGCCCATCAGCATGTCTGATGGTTGCGTCCGTTTAAAACACACCTGCGTTGGGATAAGTCACACTTCACCACTTACATATCCTTCCTTTAAGATGCATTTTTTCCTTGAGCCAAAATTTTGTGTTTTAGTATCTCACTGTTTATGCAGAGTCATACCTCATCTCAGATATTCTTATTTTCACGCAGAAGGTGGAAGCCGGGTCTCCTGCCACAGCTCCCTCGAGTCAACCCCCTGCTGCGAGTTTCCGGGTGACAGTCCCCGGTCCTTGAGCACAGACCTGCTGTCCATGACCTCGAGTTTGGGCAGCATCGTGGACCGCTCCAGCACAGAGTCTGCTGACCAGGAGAGGAACCTCAGCGGAGAGGTGAATGGTGTGCTGCAGGAAAACAGTGACCCCGAGGCGTTCAGTGTCCTGGAGGTGCCCGAACCTGCCCCTGACACACTGAATGAAGGGAGTGCCGGTGGCGCTGAAATCCCACGGCAGGACCACATAGGCGGGATGGAGCCTCGCGGGGGAGTGTGGACTTCGCTCTCGGAGCTGCGGGAGGCCGTGGAAGGTAGTGGTGTCACCGAACTGAGAGAGCAGCCTTGCTCCATGGACGATGGGCTGGATGGCAGACAGTCCCCCGGGCGAGAACAGGCCCGGAGAGCAGCAGGGGACATGGAGCCTGATGACCCCCAAAGCACTTGTTCTGAAGCCCCCTTCCTGGACTCACCTCCGGTGCCTTCAGGCCCCAACTGGGCCCCCCAGGCCGAGCAGTGGCTGCCAGGGACCCGAGCAGACGAAGGCGGCGCCGAGGATCATGGCTTCCTGACGCATGTGGAGGCCCCGGGCCACCTCGGCTCATGTCTCCAGCGCACGGTCACTGACAGTGACACGGGCCTAAAGGAAATAGCTGCCTCGGAATATGACGTGGGGCGTGCGGGAGGGTGGCTAAGACCCCTGGCCTCTGCCTCGGCGACTTGCACCCAGGAGCCTCGGCCTGAGCAGTCTTCCCGGGACCAGGGGCTGACGTCCAGTGACGAGGAGGACATCTATGCCCAGGGGCTGCCTTCCTCTTCTTCGGAGACGAGCGTCACAGAGCTTGGGGGCAGTCGCTCCCTACAGGACCTGAGCCAGCCCGGCGCGGAGGACCCCGGGCTTCTGAAGTCGGATCAGGTATGTGGATTCGTGGAGTCCAGTTTCCTGTTGGGTCCACACCGGCGATGCCCGCAGTGAAGGACGATGGCCCTCGGTCGTCCTACGTGAGAAGACTTTAAGTGCTCTTCTTAGCAAGTAATTCTCATTCAGTGTATTTGGTTTCAAAACTAATCACATATTGTGACTTTTCCTACCAAGGAGTAGTAACATGCGGATTACGAGTGTGAACTTAGGTGTGCTTCCCCCAAATGTACCATCAGAATGTCTCGATGCTGATATGACTGTTGTCTGGGCAGCTCTCGACGCCTGCCGGACACCGTTAAACACTTAATAAGTTCACCTCATTTACTTCTCTAAAAACAAAACAAACCGTGAAGTCGGTGCTCAGGTGGTCCCCGTTTTACAGTGGAGGGAACCGGGACTTGGTTAAACGGCTGCACAGGTCCCGTAGCAAGTGGAGCGCAGGGCTGGCCCCGGTCCCGTCTCTCAGCCTCTGTGCCGCCCGCCTTCAGGGCGAAATGTACTGCTTACTTGTTTTGAGACCAACACCGAAAGGTTAGGCCTTCGTCCCAGTCCCAGCTGCACCCACCCTCTCTTGAGAGCCCTGGGCTGCAGGCCCCGTGTGCTGTTGGGTGCCATGGCGCATGGGCAGCCAGTCGGGAGATCAGAATCTCGAGGAGGAGGAGGAGGAGGCAGACGTACATGCCGATCGTCTCAGCTGAGCCAGAGTGAGCAGGGTGTGGGGCCCTGGGAGGCTGCGAGGCACCAGCCAGGCCGGTGACGTCCTGGGAGGGCGGGCTGTTGAGATTCTAGGCCAGAACTCCCTCCCCTAGTGAGAGGGAACCCGGCACTCGGAGGACTTCTCCCCTTTGATGGTGCCCCCCCATTCCAGTAGCTGGAAAAGCCCAGAAATTTTGGGGTTGCAAAAGACTTGTCACGGGGAGCAGGGCCAGGTTGGGAAGGGTCGGACACCATTCTCTGTGAAGCAGTTGACCTCTGCATTCAAGTGATGGTGGATACATGATTTCTTCTGCAGTTTTTAGAAAACAAACCACAGAGACTTCCTTTAGCTTTGATCTTTAAGGACCCCCACAGCCAAACATTAGCCTATAAAATTCCGCCGGGTGGAGCGTCTTGGCCAGGCTTCCATCAGCTCCGTCCTGTGCCCCGCGTTGGGTGATGGGGACCGTGTCTAGAACCCTTGGTGAGGAAGCAGCGCTAGAGTGGGGCTATGCTTAGCGCATCTGCGAGGATCAGAGGCTCAGAACAACGATTTGCACACACGTCGTGTAAGTGCGGTGCATCTGTGCGCAAAGCTGAGTCATTTCAGCGTAAGCACGGCATTAGGAAGTGTTACCAGATAACACGGCGTCGGCTGGGGCGGGGGCCGTCGGGGGCGGCAGCTCCCTTTTCAGAGCACTTCTCCTCGAGCCCGGGTCCGGGCAGCGGGCCCTGCATGTCTTCTCAGGGAGCCTCTGCTCTGTGGCTTGAAGGACACGCTGGACGCTTGTCCTGCTACGACAGTGCCGGGCTGTCCTCTGCTGCGGCACCCAGCAGGCTCTGTCCCTGTCAGTTTGCAGAGAGCTGGATGGGGTACTCGGGCCCCGGCTGCGGCATACTCAGCCTGGCGGTGTCGGACAAGTACCTCTGGTGCCTGGACTACAAAGGTGGCCTGTTCTGCAGCGCGCTGCCCGGCGCCGGCCTTCGCTGGCAGAAGTTTGAAGACTCCGTCCAGCAGGTGGCGGTCTCACCCTCAGGTTGGCCTCCCCGGCTCCCAGCTCCCAGCCCACCAGCCCACCCTGCAGCCGCGCCACCCCTTACCAGGACCGGCCCGTTTCTGCTCCTGCACGGGAGGGGGGTGGGGGTTCTCCCACCGGAATTGATCTCAGTTAACAAATAGTGTAAATGGATGTCTAGTTTGGATTTTTGGGTTTTTTGTTAATTGCAATGGTGACACGTAAAACTTTTTTTTTTTTAATGTTTTATTTATTTCTAGGAGAGAGAGAGAGAGAGAGACAGCGTGAGCAGGGGAGGGTCAGAGAGAGAGGGAGTCACAGACTGAAACAGGCTCCAGGCTCTGAGCTGGCAGTCAGCACAGAGCCCGAAGCGGGGCTCGAACCCACGAACCGCGAGATCATGACCTAAGCGAAAGTCGGACGCTTAACCGACTAAGCCACCCAGGCGCCCCTCGTAAAACTGTTTTTATAAGCTATACAAAGAGCTTGAAGTTTGAGGGTTTTTTTTTTAAGAGATTAACATACTCCTTATAAAAAGGAAATGTGTTTCAAAAATGAAGGCCTTCAGGCTGATTGAAAAATAAAATGTGTTTGTTTCTTATTGTTGCTTTAAAGGAACTGAACGAATGAAGGTGGGCCCGTGGATGTGTTGGATGTGTTCAGATTATTTGGTTTCCTTCCTAGAAATTATTTTTTAATGAGCCATGTGTCTGCTTTGGCCAAATAATCTACTCCCTGAGTATAAAAGAAAACTGTATTCATTCTCACAGGCTGTGCTCAGGCTAACCATTTTTTGTGAACCAGAGCAGATGTTTCCTGAATGAGGTTCCACCACACTTTCAGCCTGTACCTCCCCTAGCTGTCTAGAACCATTTGCTCATCTGTTTTGGCATAATGTTGGCCACCTCACCTGTTAGGGTGGGTAGCTAGAATACAAGCATTTCTGTGTATTTGCCTCATAGTAACTGGCTTATTGTTGAGACATTGGAGTAGAAGTCAGACATTAGAGGGACGCCTTGGCAGCTTGGTCTGTTAAGCATCTGACTCTTGATTTCCAAGAGTCCTGACTTCAACTCTGGTCCTTTTTTTTTAATGTTTGTTTATTTAGAGAGAGAGTGCATTCATGAGCAGGGGAGGGACAGAGAGGGAGAGAATCCCAAGTAGGCTCTGCATTCAGTGCAGAGCCCAAAGTAGGACTTGAACCCACACACCATGAGATCATGACCTGTCAGATCAGGTCTTGATCTCAAGGTTCGTGAGTTCGAGCCCTTTCCTCAGTTGGGGTCGAAGCAGAAGGAAGAGAAGGGATTTTAGAAATCTCTCTCCCCAGAATGGAGTTTTTTTCCCCTAAGTTGCAAGATTTATTGGATAGTGAATAGCATTTATATTTCTGTAGGAGCCCTTCTCTGGAAGATTGAACAGAAGTCCAACCGAGCTTTTGCTTGTGGAAAAGTGACCATCAAGGGAAAGCGGCACTGGTATGAGGCGCTGCCGCAGGCAGTTTTCGTGGCCCTGAGTGATGACACGGCCTGGATCATCAGGACAAATGGAGACGTATACCTGCAGACAGGTGACCGAAGGCTGTGGCCCAGCGCCTGGTGGTTTGGGGACCATTGCTTCCTGCTGTCCTTCACTTTATTAGGGACATGCTTCTAACAGTCGCAATGACTAAGGAGCCACAAATCAATTTAAATTAAAACATTTCTGGAAAGACAGTATTTGCCATTGGAATATATTAGCAATTTCCCGCTATTGACTCACATTCAACTCAGGACAAATTTAAGGCAAGACTTAATAGGATTATTTAGTGAGATAGAGAAACAGATTCTTCTCCTCCTGGCCAGCCATTGCTTGTCACACGTGCCGCAGTATCAGGTCTTAACAGGAAGCAATAACAGGGAAATGACATTAGAGTCCTTTGTTCCTTCAGGTGATGGCTGGGTTTTTTTCAGCCAGGTCAGAGCCCTGCTTCTCTATACTTTACAGATGGATCAGGAAGAAACAACGAGAAATTATTTGATCAAAGTAGCAGTTCAACTTGTGCTGATAAATTGCCCTGAGGGGAACTGTGAGCTGCTGCAGGAGACCCGGGGTGGGGACTTGCTTATTAAGCACCATGTGTAATGAGAGTGAACATTGCTGTCCCGTCAGCACAATGGAGTGTCCCCAAGGGCGTGTGGTGTGCCGGCATCCGGAAGGGATATGGGGCACCGAGTTCCTTTTTAATTATCAAGAGGCCATGCTGGATTTACGTAGAAACCTATCTTCTAACCATTTAATATTGTTGATACGGAGACAACGTTTTAATCTCTGTTGGGAGCTGTCAGCCAGGGATGGCCCTGAGATTGCAAACCTTTGCTCCCCTGCCCTCAGTGTGGGAGGGCCAGCATCTCCTTGAAGCTGCTGCTGGAGGCCTGGGGGTCAGCCTCGCCAGCTTCTGGGCCATGTGCCCGGCCCTCTCTCCCCCTTCTCGTTCCTGTGTCTCCCTTCAAGTGCAGATAGCTCTGGAAAGGCAGAGGCATATCCAGTCTCCAAGGACATTTGAGTTTCATTCCTGCTGGGGAACGGAGTGCTTCTGGCCTGGGGTTGAGGAGGGGGTGACCCAACAGCCAGTGGTACCAGACCTACTGCGTGAGTCTCAGGCGCTGGCCTGAGGGTCTATGGGATAGGAAGCCCTGCAGGTGACCCCGCCCCCCCGGGTTGAGGACGGGCTGTGCAGCCAGGGACGCGGCGCGCAGGGTGTGCAGCCAGGGACACGGCGCGCAGGGTGTGTAGCCAGGGACGCGGTGCGCAGGGTGCTTCTGTGAGCAGGCGGGGCTCACACTCGAGCAGTGAGGACTCCCTGCAGGCCGACACCGGGGAGGATGGGGACCCTGAGCTTAGTCACCAGCTTCTCTGCCAGCTCCCGAGGAGAGCCTTCCAGCTCATCAGATAGGCTGCACAGAGGTGGGGGCAAGAGCCCTGGCCGGGGAGTAGGGACCCTGAGCTCTGCCCTGGCCTTCCATCTGGGGACCCCGGCCCCCCTCAACTAGGTGAGGCGAGGGGGAGGTCCGCCGCCTGGTCAGAGCTGCCCCGCGGAGGGTCAGACGATGGCCGGAGGCCTCGGAGCTCTGCTGTCCCCAGCAGCCACCGTGGCAGCTCACTCACCCAGCGCTCCGAGGGCCGTAGCCACAGGGCACGGGAAGGCGTCTGTGGGTGGCACTGCTCCTGGCCTGGGCTGCCTGGCTTAGGCTCTGGCCTCTCCTGCTCTGGGTCTTGTTCTTTCTGGACATCGTAAGGTACTTTGGGACCCCGAAGGGTTCGAGCTGTTACCCCTTCCATTTTCAAAGTGCATCTGAAAACACTTCCGATAGATGCCATACCACAGCACAGCTTCACGGTTCGGTGACTAGACCTTAGAAAGACAAAGGACTTATTACGAAAGAACACGGCAAAATACCAAAACTAGGAAAAGCAGCAGACAACAGGATACAAATGAGGTGTGAAATCCTGATCGTGTGTCTCGGGGCTTCCTGTCTGTCGCCCTGGCAGGTCTCAGTGTGGATCGCCCCTGTGCCAGAGCCGTAAAGGTGGACTGTCCGTACCCGCTGTCCCAGATCACTGCCCGGAGCAGCGTGGTGTGGGCGCTGACGGAGCAGAGGGCTCTCCTGTTCCGGGAGGGCGTGAGCAGCTTCTGTCCTGAGGGCGAGCAGTGGACGTGCGACATCGTCAGGTAGCCGCAGGAGGAGCAGAGGCCTCGCGTTGGCCAGCTGGTCCCACCCTTGGTTCTCTGTCTGCTCAACTCCCCTTAAGGCACCCACATGAGCCCTTCGTGGCCAGGGCTGCTGCTCGGAAGCTGTCCGCCCTGGTAGCGCTCTCTGGGCTGCGGGGGCCGCGGCAGCAGCCTGAGCTCCGAGATGCCCTGCGCCTGCCTCTGCCCGGCAGACTGGGCACTGGGTCAGGACTCAGATTTTTGACATGCTGCTGCCCTCTTGTGTCACCCCGAGTGTCACACCGTCACCAGTCCCTCGTGACAGTCTCTTCATGGCCCGGTGCTGTCAGGTGGTTTCTGTGCACAGTCTCAATGGTTTAGGGCCAAACGTTTTCCTTTATCATCACCCTAGTCCGTGGTAATCGATCTCTTAATTGTAATTCATTGGGTTTTTACCATTCAAAATTTTATTTACAGAATTACCATCAGATCATGTTGCTAATTAGGAAAATGAGACTAGGCTCCCCTTGGTTTGAACCTCGCAGCCTGGTAAACTTGAGCAGGTAGCTTCTGTGAGCCTCCCGCAGGCTGGGCTGGGTGCACGGGGTGGGTAGGGGGGGACTGCCCTAAGCCCTCCCCTCCCTGGGCTCCTGCTCCGAGGGTACCACGTAAGCAGCTGGTGCCAGTTAGCGTGCATGGTCCTGAACCAGAGAGCACAGCCTGGCCGAGACTCAAAGCTGGCGGGGGCTTCACCAGAGGGGTGCCAGGGAGAAGGGCACCACCCGCAGCGAGATCGCATCTGCCCAGCCGCTGCCACCCAGCACAGCCTGGCACCCAGCAGGGGCGCCTCTGCTCGCTCAGTTGTGCAGGGGGGGCAGTGAGGCAGAGGCACGCCAGCCTCAGGTCCCTTATGTGCCCACGTACTTTTCTCGTCGGGTGTTTTCTCCCGAGGGCTGTCCCTGCCAGGCTGGGTCTTCAATATGTCTTTCAGAAGCTGCACACATTTAAACAACATACACTGCACAGTAATGTGACTCAAACTTCAAGCTTCCGTCCTAAGAACTTATGGGTGGGGTCCAAACCCAGCCAGGAGACTCTCGATGCTGATGTTCCTAGTCAACGCTGGACCCTTGGAGCGTGGGTGCTGATGCTGTGTTGTCTTCCATTTCCAGTGAGAGGCAGGCTTTGGAGCCAGTCTGTGTAACTCTCGGGGACCAGCAGACTCTGTGGGCCCTGGACATCCGAGGAAACCTGTGGTTCAGGACTGGCATCGTTTCCAAGAAGCCCCAGGGAGATGACGACCATTGGTGGCAAGTAGGTACTCCACTGCAGGGCCACTGGCCAGTGTCTTCCCAGGCTGGAGGCTCTGCTTCCCATTTATAGCCCCCGTCTTGTCCGTAGAGACTGGGAAGTTTGGACTGAATTAAGAACACTCACTTTTACTCTTTGTTGAGTTAAACTTTGCTGTGTTTGAGCACATTAGAAATGTCAAGGGCTTTTCGTTGTAGGAGGTACCTCCTTAAGCTCTCTTTGCTAAAATTTACAATTCTGTTTATTATTTCTTTTTCTGTTTATGTGTTATTAATTCATCCTCATATGCTAAACAAGCCCAGGGATAGCCTTTTGAAGACCTAGGTAATGATGAAGTTTAACTCTGAACACACGTGCTAAGCAGAGCTGGGCGGTAGGTTTGGAGCCCAGCTCACAGTTACAAGTCATGTGTCTCCACTTGTTCTGAAGGCCTCTAAGCAGGCAGCGTTTCAACAAAGAAAGGAGAATGTTCCCACGCGCTCCCAGAAAAGGAGACACTCAGCATCATAGGAGGTGTGAGCAAGCTATCTTCCGTGACTTGCTCCCAGCCGGGGTGGCCTAGAATGTGTTTTCAAAGGACATGTTCCTCCCCCTCTTTGGTAGCATTCAGTGTGGCCGTAGCCGCCCCTGCCTCCTGCTGCCGTCAGTGAGGTTGTTCTGACCCTCAGCAATTGAAAAATACGCAGTGTCCCTTTAGTGTTTGTCTCCACTGGTTCAGGCTTTCATTTTTTTGTTTGTTTATTTAATTTTTTGACAGAGAGAGACAGAGCCTGAGAAGGGGAGGGGCAGAGAGAGAGGGAGACACAGAATCTGAAACAGGCTCCAGGGTCTGAGCTGTCAGCACAGAGCCCAGTGTGGGGCTCGAACCCATGAGCTGTGAGATCATGACCTGAGCCGAAGTCAGCTGCTTAACCGACTGAGCCCCCGGGCACCCCAGGGTCAGGTTTTATTGTTGCCTCAGACTTGCTGAGTCGAAGACAGGTCTTTCATTCGTGGCGCTTAGGTCTTTCAGGTGAGAATGTGAAAAATAAGTTGTGTTTGCTCTTTGATGAATAAGTATATGTGTACATATGTCTCTAATTTGATATGCCAGATACTATCTGAGAAGTCGTTGACTTTAAAATCATCCTCTCCATGTTTCTAACTGTATTATATGGTTTTATACACACGCACACTCTCTCTCATGTATGTACCAAATTCCATTTTTAAATAGCTTGAAGAAAGTTAGATACCATTTTATCATAATATTGAGAACGCTATCTTTAGAGAAATTTAATTTGACAGAATCATCTTCGAGGTATTTGGAAGCAGAGTTATTTTCATTACCGTGAGACTGATTTCCCTGTGGCGCCAGAGCCAGCTTTCTGTTTGGCTGCTAAACCTTTCTTTTCTTTAATATGCATCCTGCTTCTCTGCGGGGGGTTGGGTGCTGAAACAGTCTGTCACAGGCTTGCTGCATGGCCTTGGCGTGCGCACCCCCAGGGAAGAGCAGCGCTCCCTGGGGCGGACCCAGCAGTACGCGTCATGAACCCCAGAGCCCCGTGTGCAGCGCTCTATGGGCTGTGATGGGGACCGCCCAGCTGGGCTGGCGGAGCGCTCGCTGGCAGTGGGAAACGGGGCCATGGGGTGCTTTGTGGTTTGACGTTCACTTCAACTTCAGTCAGGGCAGTTGGCTCATCCTTTCATGGGTTAAAAAAAAAAAAAAAAGGCAAATTTGTACACTTAATCAAGTACAAAGTGTTACAGTAATTTCCTTTTTACTTGGTTTTGTTTATCATAAATGAAGTTCCCTATAATAAATGATGTCCGTTTCACTTGATTGCGCATGACCTGGGGACGTGGCCTGCACGAGGCTGTCCTAGGCATAGGGGGCGGCATTCTCTGTAATTCAGCCCGACGGGGCAGAAGTATCCATGAGGGTCAAGTGGAATTTGACCATCTTAGAAAGAACTTTCTAACAACCAGAGCTGCCAAACAGGGAGAGGTTCTCCCCAGAGATGCCCTGGAGAGTGGCTTTGGGGATGTTAGAGAAGCAGCTTGCACACGAGAACCAGGGTATGCCTGTCACGTCCAGGGTGGCCCCGGCTCGTGCCATTGGACTGGCATCTTCACCGACAGGCCTGGTTCAGATGGTGGCCCTGCTTGTGATACCTTCTCTAATCCGTGTTGTGATTCTGAGGACTGCACACTAGTGTCCGCGGGAAATACCTAAATTTGAAAGCAAAATCACCCATTCTCACTGATTAGAATAAAAGTCTGCGGGGGGCGGAGGGGGTCACAGGTAATCACAACAGTAATACATGTGGTTGTGACAGACCCGTGTCCTATAAAAACATAGGAGACAAGAGGGGACGTTTTCTTCCATCCCTCTGAATCTAACCCTCAGAATTAGTTACGGTTGGTGGTTTGGTGGGTCCTGCCGGACTTGTTTTGTGCACATGGTGTGCACGTGCACACGCATGTTGGGGGTCTGCTGGACGGGGCCGAACTTTGCTGTCAGCTGGGGCGCAGATGGAGGGCGCTCGTGACCGCCCTGAGAGAAGGGTGTCCTCCCGTCTCCCCCTCCAGGTGAGCGTCACAGACTATGTGGTGTTCGACCAGTGCAGCTTATTCCAGACCATAATCCACGCCACGCACTCCGTGGCCACAGCAGCCCAGGTGCCCGTTGAGAAGGTGGCAGATAAACTGCGCACGGCCTTCTGGTCCCAGCAGCTTCAGTGCCAGCCGAGCCTTCTCGGGGTCAACAACAGCGGCGTCTGGATCTCCTCAGGCAAGAACGAATTCCACGTCGCCAAAGGCAGTCTCGTCGGTGGGTGATTCGCTTTGCTTTTTATGTTGCCTGATCAGCAGCTTCACTCTTTTTTTTTTAACAATTTTTTAAAAAATGTTTTATTTATTTCTAAGAGAGAGAGACAGCATGAGCAGGGAGGGTCAGAGAGAGAGGGAGACACAGAATCTGAAACAGGCTCCAGGCTCTGAACTGTCAGCACAAAGCCTGACGCGGGGCTTGAACCCACGAACCGTGAGATCATGACCTGAGCCAAAGTCGGATGCTCAACCGACTGAGCCATCCAAGCGCCCCGGCAGCTTCACTTTAAAGCCAGCATTGAAACAAAAACTTTATGATCTCAACTTTAGGAGATAATTTGGTGCCAGCGTGTGAAGTGTTTGTAATTGAGGGCTTCTTTATGCTTTGTATCAGTTTCCTTTTTTTTTTAATATGTCGTTCTATAACTAGGGTACCAGCATTTGGCTGGTGTGTGATCAGTTTCTACTGGGAATCTGGGATGATATAGAAATGGCAGATGGAGCTCATTTTTATGTTCGTAATTTCACATTCAAATGAAAAACTCCACCCAAACTAAAGAGCTCAGTAGGAGAAGGTAATCCATTTACTAGAGGAAAAGTTCTTTCACTGTGGAGAATGCAAGGCTCTGACAAGATCTGTAGAGTTGTTATGAATCCACATGTACCCACGAGGGCTTCATTTCTGTGAGTGAAGCGCAGCTTCGTGCATTTTTTCCATCTCTCTTCCCTCTGCACAACTCCCCCACGCACTCACCCACCCGACTGCGGGCAGGACTGGGCTCTGCATGTCAGCATGGAAAGGAAAAGCAGGGACTGGCCTCACAGCACTGGTGTGGGCCTCCTCATCTAAGGGCACTCAAGAATTAGCTGTAAGAGGTTTAAAGACCAGTTGTCCAGAACCAGAGCTCTGGTGTGTATGTGTTTTCTTCTTTCTTTAAAATGCTTCCCATTCCTTCTAGGCACTTACTGGAATAATGTTGTTCCCCGTGGGACAGCTTCTGCAACAAAATGGGCCTTTGTGCTGGCCTCCACTGCTCCCACAAAGGAAGGTTGGTTGAGAAATGTAGTGCATGGATTGGCCGCTGAAAGGTGAAAGCCGTGGTCTGACCACGGCCTCGCTGGGATGGTGCGTGGCTGGGTGGGCATCAGAGACAGGGCAGTGGCTTCACGGGCAAGTGTCCCTTGTTGGCCGCGCCGAGGCCCCCGCGGCTGGATAGGCCTGCCCAGGAGGGAAGGTCTAGTGCGGGGATGTTGAGTGAGTCTAAAGGCAAGATGTCATTCCAAAGGAGAGGAGAATCGATGTCCCGCCAGGGCCACAGGTGGAGACTCCCGGCGACACGTCAGGGGCCGGAGCACCGCAGCCAGTAGGCACCAGGCTTCTCCGGGTACCTTCCCCTTTCCCCTTGGGAGGTCTTCTGTCGCCTCCTGTAGCCTCTTGCGGTCTGGTTCACAGCCTCTGGTGAGTTGTGCCCTGTTGGGACAGGCCTCCCCTGCAGGGGCAGATGTCTTGCGGACTCCGCTCAGGGCTCCCCTCCCGCCCAGAGCACGGCGTTTGGAGCTGAGAGAGGCAGTGCAGGGGCCCAGGGAGCTGGGGGCCTGGCAGTCAGGTAGCCCCTGTGGGAAGTGGCCGGAGGCCCCTCGGAGGATCGCACCGAGGGCCGGATGGGAAGATGCTGAAAAGCCTGTGGTCCAGACGAGACAGCTGGTGAGTCAAGCCGTTAGTCCCACTAGGATTTGGCTAACTTGCCTGGACAGAATAACGTTTTCTTGCCTGATCATTCTGACCACAGTTCTGAAATCTGTAAGCTCTGAAAAGCGTAGTTCTTTCCTGAGAGTGACACAAATTCATTTGGCAGCAAGACCTGACCTGAACCCGACGTGAGGCTGCTCATCCCCCTGATTCGGCCTGCGTTCTGGTGCTGCCTGGCTCCCTGAAGCTGTTACTTAAATCCATGGCAGGTCCACCACCTTAGATTTTCAAAACCAAAAACATGTGAATTCTAAAACCTATCTGGCCACAAGTTTTAGACAATTATTATCATGGAGGTTCTAACTTTCAGAGGTCCACATTTTAAGCTGAATCTGTTAAGCCTAAAGGGCTTTAAAAATGGTGGGGAGGGAGAGGGTGAATTTTGAGGAGAGGCTGGAGAGGAGAGGAGGCCCTCCAGCTTCCCCCACCTCCCAGCCCACCCACCCACCTCCAACCCCAAGACAAGAACAGGGGGCTTTGGTTCCATCCTTCTGAGATATTGCTGACGTCACTCCCTCCAGAGCGCCAGGCACAACCAAGTCAATGACTCTCCAGCCCTTGCAGAACGTCCAAGGTCAGAGCTGCTAAGCCAACTTTGCAGCCTTCATCGGAGCTCACAAGCCCTGCTTTCTTTCCTCCCTTTAGAACATCTCAGGCTTGTTTCTTAACTGGCTGGCTGTTGGGGGGTCGCCTCTGACCTCTGACTCAAAGCACATGGAGCGCCTCCCACGCGGGGAGCCATCAGGCATCAGCTGCCCAGAGGCCATTTCGTCAGTGACAAACATGAACCTCTTCCACAGGAAGCTCCTTGTGGCTGTGCCAGAGCAGCAAGGACCTGTGCAGCGTCAGCGCCCAGAACGCACAGTCCCGCCCCTCCACGGTGCAGCTGCCTCCCGACGCCGAGATGAGGGCGTACGCGGCGTGCCAGGACGCCCTGTGGGCCCTGGACGGCCTCGGGCAGGTGTTCATCAGGACGCTGTCCAGGAGCTGCCCCACAGGCTTGCACTGGACGAGGCTGGACCTGTCCCAGCTAGGTAGGCCCCGGGTCAGCTTGCGGGAAGTCCTTGTGTTTTCATGGTTACTGATTTGTTTTGAGAGAGAGAGCCAGGAAGGCACAGAAGCGGGGGGTGGGGGAGAGAGAGAGAGAGAGAGAGAGAGAGAGAATCCTAAGCAGGCTCTGTGCTGTTAGTGCAGAGTCTGATGCAGGACTCGATCCCACGAACTGTGAGATCACGAACTGAGCCAAAAATCAAGAGTTGGACATGTAATCGACTGAGCCATGCAAGCACCTCTCCATTTGTGTGAATTCTCATAGGACATTGTGTAAGTTACTGGATTTCAGGACATTGATCAGCTCCTTGTGCAGATTAAATGGGCCTCATTCATTGTACAGGGAGCCTCACCCTTTCCAGCTTCCAGTGCTCGCGGAGCCCAGGAGGAGCGCCTGCTCAGGGCAAGTGGCCGCTAGAACCTGACGCTCCCGCTCAGCATGGCGCATGAGTGCCCTTCAGGTCTGCAAGGACAGGCGTGTCCTCCGTCAGTGTCAGCTCCGTGCGCCTGTCTCTTTGAAGCTAGAGCAGCGCCCCGAAGCCAGTGTCCATTCTTTCTCGGGCAGAATGAGGGGATGACGTGTGTCTCTCTTCGCCGCGACTCTCCTCTTGAGCCTCCTGTTTCAGTAAGTCATTTGTATTCCAAGAGGCAAGACAATAGAGTGAGCCCGCGGCAGGAGGCTCTTTTCCAGGCGTCTTCTTGATCAACCCGCAGCTTATGTGTGGCCCGTCTGACGCTGGAGACTTGGCTGAAGGCGGAGCTGCTCTAGGCTGCTCCAGAAGGCCCCCCTGAGCCTTAGGAACACTCCCCTGTCCTAAACTTTCCCACGTTGGTGAACAGACAACCAGTGTTTTTGTTGGGTAGGTGGTAAAGTTGAATTGTATGAGTGTTTCATATTTGAGAATTCAACCACATGTACTCGTTAGGGAAAAAAGGAAGGAGGTGCCTGGCGGACTCAGTAGAGCATCAACTCTGTCTCCAAGTTGTAAGTTCAAGCCCCACATTGGATTTAGAGTTTCCCTAAAAGAAAAAAAAAAACATATGTATGTGTGTATATATATATATATATATATATATATATATATACACACAACAAATGTATTTTACGTTAAAAATATATATTGAAATGTATTTTCATGTAATATAGACTTTATATTAAAATATATATGTAGTAAGATATATTATACATAGTTAGCCACATATTAGTGTGTACACACACACACACACACACACACACACAAATATTCATATACAGAGAGAACGGGAAAGAGAGCAAGAAAAAAGACCAGGAGGCCCGTTGTGTGGCTGCGTCTCTGGCTGCCGGGCTGTCTCACCATCCGGTGGCTTAGCCCACGGGGCCCCTTCCGGGTGCTGCATCGAGGGCCCATTCTTCTTCTGTCCAGCAGGACCCCCAGATACCATCCAGGTTCATAACTAAAGAGGCAGGTTGGCTCTCAATGAGGAAGCGAACTCTGCTCTGATAGGAATTTTCCAGGGTCACGCTCCCTTCAGCAGCACGTATACTAAAAATAGGAATGTTCCAGGGTCATTTTGATGACTTAGGCTTTTGGCCTCACGCTCTGTCACTTGAACCTAACCCAGTAGCGAGGCCGTCACCTTCCAGCTGTTGAGGGTTTGCCAGCCACCATCACCAATGGCGACTAACCCAACCGGGCTGCAGCTGCTCAGGTCCCTGAGTGCTGGTGATGGTGGCCTCCCACCTGCCCTCGGGAAGCCTTGTCACCACTCAGAGGTCTTCCTGGCCTGAGCCTTTCTCGCAGCCCCATCCAGCCCAGCCTGGGAGGTGCCGCCGCTCCTTCAGGAGCTCCAAAGGCCAGGGCACGGTTTGCATCCTGCCACCACTGGATCCCAAGGGCCCTTGCTCTTCTGCACAGGCTGGGCGACGGCAGAGCTGTCTCCCCGTAGCACCCCCCACCCCCGTCCCTCAGGATGCCGACGTGCCCAAGTGGGTGCAGAGCGGATGGCCTTGGGCCAGGCTGCACGCTGCCCAAACCGGCTCCGTCTGGGGCCGGCAGGCACCCACAGCTCATGCCTCCCTCCTGGCACCGGCTGCGCGGTCGCAGGTCTCAGGTGTCCGTGTGAGCTTCACCAGGGTGGCGGCCATTCTTTCCAGGTGGAGATGCTCAGCTTTGCAGGGATTGAGGCTCAGTTTAAGAGAACTCACTCTGAGCAGGCTCCAGGACCCTGGGTGAACTGCTGGGTTCCCTTTGGACCACAGTTTCCCCCTCCGTAATGGAACAGCCTCCCCACAGCAGGGGGAGGGTGTGTAGAAGCATCCTGTGTAGACGTGAGCTTCTTGGGCAGGTGTCTTGCACGGGGTCCTTCTTGAGCCAGCATGAGCTGCGTCGCGCCACAGGCTGGTGGGGGAGTCCAGCCATGTGCCTGGTGCCTTTCTTAGTCTGAGCTCTAGATTGTATATTTTTTATCCGGGTTGCCAGCAGACACTGAAGTGATGGACAAAGAGCCCTTTTATCATTTTCTGAGCGTAGGAGAATGCAGTCCTGAATTGGTAGATGGCGTGTTGGGCCAGGGGAGGTGGGCAGGGTGGCGCAGGAGGGGTGCTGGCCTCCCGCTGCGCCAGGGCCGGGGTCGGTGGGGAGGGCTGTGAAAGGCCGGCACAGACCGCCAAGGGTTGTTGCCGGGCTCTCTCCACATGTGGCCTGTGCAGCCTGTGGGACTAATAGGTGAGTCAAGCGGTTTAAATTCTCCTGTAAGTGAGGGGATGCGGGTTTGAGTTCAGGTGCGTGCTCCCTGCCCTGAGCCCCACGTGTGGGCGTCCTTGGCAAGCTGTCGTCGGGCGGCACGCGTGGAGTAGTAGCGAGTAGAGAGTGTGGTCATCTTGGTAACAATCCTGCCTTGGATTGCTCACCTTGATTGCTCTTTACAAGCTGGCCATGGTGGGTGCTCGCAGCAGTGAAAGGAAACACGGCCTCGGCAGGAGTATGACTGCATGTGAGCATTTCGTCTGAGGGTGAAACTCTTCTCTCCCAAACATACCTTTTTTCTGATTTCACTCCTCTGCTCCTGCTAAATTCTTCTGGAAAAGGCAGAATCCTCCGTGGCCAGCACATCAGCGGTGTCTCTGCCATCTACCCCAGAGGGTCTCCTAGGCTCTGTCCTTGCTTCTGTCCCCCAGTGCCAGGGCCAGGGGCCCCTCCTCAATGCGTGCTCTCCTGCGGGAACCGCCTCGCACGCCAGGCCTGCCCCGCTCCCCCCACGGTGGCCAGACCTGTCTTCCCCAGACCGCTGCAGGGGTGGACCCTCAACCTCAAATAGCTGCCCACCGCCCCGGCATCCGGGTGGCGCCTGGGGCCACCGCAGCCTGGCCCAGCCATCCTCGCCCGGCCTGGTGCAGCCGGCCACCAGCCAGGTCCCTCGTGCAGTAGGCGTGCGCGGGCCATGCTCATCTTGCCGTGGCCTAGAATGTCTTCCCAGCTCTTTCCTCCCTCCGCTTCTTCAGGCCTCAGCCAAGAATGTCCCCCACCCTGCTCCAAGCTTTCTTCGGTCAGTGTTCCCGTCAGGACGCTTTCCCATCCCGCGCCCTGCACCTGCTCTGTGGGGAGGCTGCCGTGGTCTGACCCTGTGGCATTTGCACACCGGTGGGGGTACCGCATGCTTGGCCTCATCCACGTGCAGCAGGAAATTAGAGCATCAGGGAAAGTGGTTATTACTCGTTAGCCCTGTTTCTAAGTAATTCTGGGTTATGAGTTTGAATCCTGTCTTTGGCTTTGATACTGATCATCACCAAACTGCCTAACAAGCAGGTCCAGAGAGCACCACCGTTAGTTAATCCACCTCCAAGTTGCCACCAGCGTGGTCAGGGATGTGATTTATCTGTGCTCTGCTCTTCAGTTTTGGCCTCGTCTTTATAAGCGTTCTGACATCACGAACACAAGAAGCGAAAGCCCGTCTTCCTGGTGCTGACAGAATGATCCAGCCCACCTCATGGCGGCACTAGGTTCCTTAAAGTCTGCAGTGTAACCAACTTTGGCATTGGAAGCAGAAATTTCAGTTTCAAGGATGACTTTAGCAAAGTATCAAGTCGTGAATGTGGTTTCTACCTTTTCTGTCTTTCTGAAGATGTAACATCACTCTTTTCTGCTCCTATTCAGATTACCAAGTCAGTTGCTACTTTGAGATTACATTAAGAGAATTCTTAAATGTCTGGCTACTGAACCCAGTCTTAGAGACTGAAAATGGAATTTTATGACTTATTACAATCCTAGTTTTTGGAAGAAAATTTGCATCATTTAGCAGATATTTAAGATGTTCACAACATTTCATTTCCCAGTACACATAAATATGCATTATGTGAGGCACTGGAATGTCAGCAAACTAATGCAATTTGTAATTTAATTTATCTGGTCACAGCACTTAACGAGGAAATATTTTGTATCAGTTTTTGCCTGTAGGTAACAAATAGGATTATGGTAGGCAATAATTTATTCAGAAAAGTGTTTTATAAATAGTAAAACACCAAATAAATGCTACTTTTTGTTCTAAGATGTGTGTTTAGAAGTAATCCTAAAGGGAAAATGTCTCCTCTGTTGAATAAAGTAATTAAAACTTTTTTTAAATGCAAGAAAAAACAAAGCAGGGGAAGGCAGGAAAATGATAGTGTGTCTGCGTTCATCAGGCTGGTAGCGTAATCACAGCCCCGAAATGTCAGCAGTTTAACACCGTGGATGTTGCTTTCCTGCCGCCACGAAGCTGCCTCTTAGTCTCTAGGCTTGTGTCTTCTGCTGCAGCGCCCTGTGACCTCCCTGCTGTGGTCACTATAGCAGGGGACGGCTTCTGCCCACAGCCCGCCAGCCAGGCTTGTGATGAGGCCCCACCTAACTGGAAGGGCTGCCGGAGAGCTGTGGGGTGTTTGGGAGGGCAGTGGTCCCCACCGCCTGTCCTGACCGTCTTCCCTGCAGAGCAGCCTCCTAAGCCTTCCGCATCCAGGAGGCCTGGGGGACCCTCCGCGGGGTAGAATGCTGTGGGAAAGCTGTTAGTTAAACGTTTCCTTCTTTGTCCTGTGTCTTCAGAATAAGCCGTTGTTTAGACTGACACGTGTATTCTCGCAGCCTTTACTTTCATTCTGAGAGAGTATTCCCGCAGTGGAACTGCCTGTTCTGTCGCCGTGTTGTCAGGCCCTGCTCACTGGGCTGCCGGCCCGGCTTTGTCACCGTGTAACTGTTGTCACCATCAGCTACTGCCTAGACTTCCTAGTAGGGTAGGTTGAAGACTCCAGCATAAAATTAATTTTCATCTAGTATTTTAAAATTCGCATTCATTTCTCAGCTCTTTCTGTAATTTACTGCTGAAGGTACTTTATGTTGATTGGTACAGATCTTTCACCGTGTAATGTTAGAGCCCTAGGGAGTCCAGCTGAACTCCCTGGTAAGACATTTCATAAAAGATTAAGGAAGAAAGAAATAAAACTAATTTCAGAATAAGAAAAAACTATCTGTAGGAAACGCACAAAGGAATGCTGAGAATTTTCTGTGAAGTGGTCAGTTAACACTTCTAAGCTGGTGTCATAGCTGAAGCCACCTAACAAGATTTGCACATGTGGGATCTATGCCAGTATGTCGTGGTGCAGACATGTCGGCCACCATCTGATACCAGGGACAGCTAGGAGCTGGCTGACAGGAGCATTGCCACTGAACGTAGCTGCACCACCTTTCCCCTTGCTTTAAAGTCAAGATGGCCCATCGAATTAAAAAACTCAGCAAAATCCCTATCAAGAAAATGAAAAGGCAAGCCACAGATTGGGAGAAAAGATTCACAATGAGTGTATATCTGACTACAGACTCATATCCAGAATATACAAGGAAAGCCTCTAACTCAGTCAAAAGACAAACCATTCAGCTTGGAAAATGGGCAAAAGGCTTGAACAGGCACTTCACAAAAGAAGATCTACCCCAGTAGCACATTAAAAGAGTCTCAGCATCATTAGTTATTAGGGAAATGCAAATTAAAACCATGACAAGATACTTCATCACACCTACCAGAATGGCTGATGTGGAAAGGGTGCCAAGACCAGATGCTGTTGAGGGTGTGGGCAGCCAGCAGGCACTGCTCATGGGCATGAGAATGGCAAATGAAGGGAGCGCGTGGGCGGCTCAGTTGGTTAAGCATCCAACTCTGGCTCAGGTCATGACCTCTCAGCCTGTGAATTCAAGCCCTGCATCAGGCTCTGCTGACAGCTCAGAGCCCAGAGCCTGCTTCAGATTCTGTGTCTCCCTCTCTCTCTGACCCCTCTCCCCACTTGTACTCTGTCTCTCTCTTTCTCTCAAAAATAAACTTTAGGGGCGCCTGGGTGGCTCAGTTGGTTAAGCGTCCGACTTCAGCTCAGGTCACGATCTCACGGTTTGTGGGTTCCAGCCTCATGTCGGGCTCTGTGCTGACAGCTCAGAGCCTGGAGCTGCTTCAGATTCTGTGTCTCCCTCTTTCTCTGACCCTCCCCTGCTCATGCTGTCTCTATCTCTCTCTCAAAAATAAATGAAATATTTTTAAAAATAAGTAAATAAACTTTAAAAAAAAGAATGGCAAATGCAGGTCTACCCCATGGCCCTGCACTTCCACTTCTAGATACTATTCGAGAAAAACAACACATGTCCACAAAAAAGTCTTCCATGAGAGTGACAATAGCAGCTTTACTCCCGCTAGCAAGAAGTATGCATCCCTGGGTGGCTGGGTAGACCTCCGTGTTGACAGGCAGCAGAGCAGCGTTCAACAATAGGAAGAAGCGGCACTGTGTGCAAACCCTGTGCACCATCCCCGAGTGAAAGAAACCAAACCCTAGAGAGTGCACACCTGTGGTCATTGATGTGGACCTCTAGACCAGGCTAGTAACCCGTGGGTGCCTCGGGGGAGGGGACTGCCCCCAGGGGGCCCAAGGGAACTTTCTGATGAAAATGTGCTCTGACTTGACATGGTTACCGTGGTATGTTCATCTGTCAAAACTGATGGACCTGAACACGTCAGATCTGTGCGTTCACTGGCGTCCCAGCAGTCGGGTAGCTGGTGAGCTGGCCTGTGGTCAGACCTTTGCCTCCTGGCTTAGCCACAGTCTCACCCTGGGACTTTGGGCATATGTCTTCGTGTCTGAGTCGCGATGGCCCCGTGAGGAGCTGAGCTAATGATCACCGTGCACCTCCATTCCGTTGTGGGGTTTGGAGCGAGGCATCACACACTCAGGTGCACCTTGTCCTGTGGCAGGTGCTCAGTGACTAGGCTGTTCGTTTTTGCCAGATAGGCCATTAGTCGAGTGTAATTTCTCTTTATAGCCTCCTCCCATTTCCCTTTCTCTTAAAATTGGTTTAATCAGTAAGGAGAAATGTAAAAAGGAAAGCAAAGATCCTAGGGGGCTTGGTCAGTTAAGTATTCTCATACGGATCAAGTTCCCTGATTAAGAGGGGTGCCCTCTCCCCAGGTGCAGAATTTGCTGATGCTGTGCACAGACATGATGAAACTTGTGATGGGCCCACACAGGCGTTACCCCTGCACTTATCGGCCCGGGGCCCCGTGCTGGTGGCTTGCTGACTGCCTCGCCCGGTGCCAGAGGGCCTGCTGAGTGGCGCCTGGCTGGTGGCAGGGCCGCCAGAGGCCTCGGAAACTGCCCTGAGCTGTGACGTTCTCAGACCACAGGGTCAGCCGCGAGAGCTGCCTCGCCTCTTTCTTTGAAGGATAAAATCAAAGTCCACAGATTCAAGTGCAGGCTTCGTTCTTTTTCAGAAGTAATTAGCGTGCGGCCTTTTCCTTTATTTGCCGACAGGACCTATAAAGCTGACAAGTTTGGCATGTGGAAATCAGCACATCTGGGCCTGTGATTCCAGGGGCAGAGTATACTTCCGGGTAGGAACCCAGCCACTCAACCCCAGTCTGATGCTTCCGGCCTGGATCTCGATTGAGCCACCTGTCCAGGTAAGCAGAGCGTGGCTGACACCAAGCTGCCCATCAGTAAAGGCAGGCGCTGCCAGGTTGCTGCTGCCGGGAGGGGACCACACGTTCCTGCGTGCACCTCCCAGCCAGTGGGCGCAGAGACGTGGGTCCCGGGAACAAGGCTCCCCTCCACGGCGTGTGCTCGCCCGTTTATCCCAGTCATGGAATTTAGAGCCAAACGCACTGTTAAAGATGATCCAAGTTAACGCTTAAGACTTTTTTCCTCTCAAAAATATTGTAACTTTTTACAAAACGGACATTGTGGTTTTTTTTTTTTTTTTTTTTTTTTTTTTTTTTTTTTTTTTTTTTTTTTTTTTTTTTTTAATTTATTTTTTAAATGTTTTATTCATTTCTAGCAGAGAGAGAGACAGCGTGAGCAGGGGAGGGTCAGAGAGAGAGGGAGTCACAGACTGAAACAGGCTCCAGGCTCTGAGCTGGCAGTCAGCACAGAGCCCGACACGGGGCTCGAACCCACAAACCGCGAGATCATGACCTAAGCGAAAGTCGGACGCTCAACCGACTAAGCCACCCAGGCGCCCCACGGACATTGTGTTTTAAAAAATAAAATCGGGGCACCTAGCTGGCTCAGTCCAGTGAACATGTGATTCTTGATCTCAGGATCGTGAGTTCAAGCCCCATGTTGGGGGTGGAGATTACTAATAAATAAGTAAGAATAAAATCAAGCAGTACCGAGAAGTATAGCAAAGGAAGTAAAAGCCACTTCAGATCTCGTCGGCACTTTGCGAGCGCCTCTCCTGGCTTGTGGAGTTATGTGCCCCAGCCCTACCCCCACGACAGTTCAGCTTACCATACGTCCTAAATGTTTTTCTTTTCCAGTCGACTCTTCCACCATCGATAACAGAAGCAGGGTCTGATTTTAGGGCACTATTTAATTACCCTTAAAGATCTAACAGGCCTGTTTGCTCTACTAGGTACATTTCTGTTAAAATTTATACTTAAGGGTCTGTGATTTCATGGCCTACCTGCTCCCAACTCCTGCTAGGCCCTATTTTGTGACTTTGTTGGAAAAATCATGATGTTGCCATTGGAGAGGTGTCAGCGGGACAGTGCTTAGTCCTTAAACAGAACAGTGCTTAAATGGCGACAGACAGGAAGTCATGCGTTTGGGTAAAGGCCTTTGTCTGTGACCATCTGTGTTTTGGGCACCATGAACCCCCAGGAACAGGGTGACAAAAGTCGAGGAGCTGCAAGACCATGAGGACCTCCAGTCCTCCCGGCAGACGTGGGGCGCGTGAGGCCCCACAGTTGAACCAGAGGTCAGGTCAGACCACTGGCTACTCGTCCTGCCCAGAGAGGCCCTACGTCCCCATTGGTAGCTATTCCTCCCTCATGGGGTTAAGGAGAGAGCGAGTAGAAGAATGTCGGTGACGGCACCTTGTGAATCAGAACGCGCTGTGCAAACGTGAGGCTACATGTGACAAATGAGGATGTGGGCTCACTTCTCTGCACGCAGTGGTGCGGCGGGAGCAGGCCACCTGGCAGAGGGGAGTTCGTCATCACTGGCCTTGCAGAGCGCTGCCGTGCCCAGCGATGAGCAGAGACGAGCCAGCGTGTGTCTCGCTTCGTTAGCGTCCTGAAATCCTCCTCACCCAAGGCACCCTCTTGTTGCCTGAGCCCTTCAGTACGTCATTGTTAGCACATTGCTTTTTTTTCCTGAGAGCTTTATATTATTTCTTTTAAGAGTTAATTCGCCCTTTCATAGTGTAAAATTCAGGGGGTTTTAGTATATTCAGGAAGTTGAGCAGTAGTTACTACTGTCCAGTTCCAGAACTTTCTCATCACCCCAAAAAAGAAAGCCCAAACCCATTAGTAGTAATGGTAGGTAGGGTAGTAGCCCCTACCCTTTTCCCAGGAACCCCCAAGCCCTCAACCATTAATCTCCCTTCTATTTTTATGCCCTTGCCTATTCTAGATTCGTCTCTTTCATATAAATGGAATTGTACAATAAGTGGCCTTCTTTAACATCTTTCACTTAGCGCCATGTTTTCAAGTACTGCAGCACTGGTAGCATGTGTCGATGCTTTGCTCCCTTTTGTGACTGAGTATTATTTCATTGTGTGGATAGATGTGTTGTTATTCATCAGCTGCTGGACACTTGGGGTATTGCCGTGTGTGGGCTGCTGTGAATAATGCTTCACGTGCGAGTGTTTGTGTGGATTTAATTTTCCATTCAATAGAATGGGTAGATACCTTTAAAGGGAATTGCAGGGTCAGATGGCGAATGTACATTTAAATGTTTATGGAGCTGGGGCACCTGGCTGGCCCAGTTTGTAGAGCGTGTGTCTCTGGATCTCAGAATTGTGGGTTCAAGTCCCATGTTGGGCATAGAGATTACTTAGAAATAAAATTGAATGAATGGATGAACTGTTTTCCATAGTGGCTGCATCATTTTGCATTTCACCAGTAATGTTTGAGGGTTCTCATTTCTCCATATCCTTGCCGAAAAGTTTTTCTTGCCTGATGTTTTTATTGTAGCCATCCTAGTAGGTGTAAACATGGCACCTCGTGGTTTTGACTTGCATTTCTGTAAATGCCTAATGATGTTGAAGATCTTTTCATATGCTTACTGGCCCTTTCTAGATCTTCTTTGGAGAAGTGTGTATTCAGAGTCTTTGCTCATTTTTCAACTGAGCTATTTGTCTTTAAATTATTGAGCTTTAAGAGTTCTGTAGATATTCTGGGTACTAGACCCTTATCAGATACATGATTTACATAAGCTTTGGGTGACTTACGTGCAAACTGTCGCCTGATACAAGGTCTTGAAGATCTGCACCTCTGTTTTCTTTTAGACATCTTACAGTTCTAGCCCTTACATTTAGATGTTTGATTTGTTTACAGTTAATTTCCGTATATGGTACAAGGTAGGTGTCCAAGTTCATTCCTGTACACATGAATATCCAATTATACCTGCACCGTTTATTGAAGACTATTGATTTTTCTTAAATTATCATGAAGGGTTGTCAAAATCAATTCACCGTAAATGGAAGGAGCTTTCACTCTAGTTCTGTTTCGGTGACCTGTACGTCTTCATGAGGCCAGTCCCACATTGTCTCGCTACTTAGCTTGGTTGCACATTTTGAAATCAAGAAGTGGGTTTTCTTTTTCAAGAATGTTTTGGGGGTGCCTGGGTGGCTCAGCAGTTAAGCATCCGACTCTTGATTTTGGCTCAGGTCATGATTTCACGGTTCTAGGGGGGGCGGGTAGGGCTGAGCCCTGCCTTCGGCTCTGTGCTGACGGTGTGGAGCCTGCTTAGGTCTCTCCCTCTCCTTCTCTCTCTGCCCTCCCCCGCTTTCTCTCTCTGTTTCTCTCAAAATAAATAAATAAACTTAAAAAATATATTGTTTTGTTTACTCTGTTTCTTTGCATATCCATATGAATTTTGGGATCAGTTTGTCAATGCAAAAAAATGCTCACTGGGATTTTTATAGGAATTGTGCTGAATCTGTAGATCACTTGGAGAAGTATTGCCATCTTCGTAGTATTAAGTCTTCAATCCATGAACATGGGCTGTCTTTTCATTTATTTAGATCTTCTTTAATTTCCTTCAGCAGTTTTTTGGTTTTCAGAGTATATTTTTAACTACTTTTGTTAAATGTATTTCTTTTTTTTTTTTTTTTATTTCTAGGAGAGAGAGAGAGAGAGAGACAGCGTGAGCAGGGGAGGGTCAGAGAGAGAGGGAGAAACAGACTCTGAAATAGGCTCCAGGCTCTGAGCTGGCAGTCAGCACAGAGCCCGATGCGGGGCTCGAACCCACGAACCGCGAGATCATGACCTAAGCAAAAGTCGGACGCTTAACCGACCAAGCCACCCAGGCACCCCTGTTAAATGTATTTCTAAGTCATTTATTTTTGATGCTACTGTAGATGGAATTGTTTTCTTTTTTTTAAATGCTTATTTATTTTTGAGAGAGAGAGAGAGAGAGCCTGCGAGTGCACAAGCAGGGGAGGGGCAGAGAAAGATGGAGATACAGAATCCGAAGCAGGCTCCAGGCTCTGAGCTGTCAGCACAGAGCCTGATGTGGGGCTGGAACCCACAAATCACAAGATCATGACCTGAGCCTAAGTCAGATGCTTAATCAACTGAGCCACCGAGGCACCCTGGAATTGTTTTCAGTTTGTTCATTGCTAGTATAAGTTTCTGTATATTGATCTTGTATCTGGAAACCTCACTAAACTTGTTTTAGTTCTAATAACTTTTTTGTGGATTCCTTAGGATTTCTTATGTACAAAATCATGTCATCTACAAAAAGAGATCATTTTACATCTTTTCCTACCTGGATGCCTCTTATTTATTTATTTTAACGTTTGTTTATTTTTGAGAGAGAGACAGAGACAGAGACAGAGCACAAGTGAGAGAGGCAGAGAGAGAGAGGGAGATGCAGAATCCGAAGCAGGCTTCAGGCTCTGAGCCTGATGTGGGGCTCGAACCCACAAACTGTGAGATAATGACTTGAGCCAAAGTCGGACGGACGGTTAACCCATTGAACCGCCCAGGTGCTCCTTATTTCTGTCTCTTACCTAATTACCCTGGCTAGAACCTCCTGTTTGATGTGGAGTAAAAGTGGGGAGAGCAGACATATTCGTTGCATTCCTGATCTCAGGGGGACCCAGCCAGTCTTTCACTATTAAATCATGATATTAACGGCACACTTTTTACAGATGCCCTTTTCAGACTGAAGAAGTTCCCTTTATTCCTAGTTTTGTGAATTATTTTTTCATGAGAGAATGTTGGTTATTGTCAAGTGCTTTTTCTGTACCTGCTGAGATGATCGTGTGTGTTTTCTCCCTTATTAATGTGATGTGTTATATTGACTGACTTGTATGTTGAGCCTTTTGTTTCTGGGATAAATCCCAGTTGGTCATGATGTGTAATCTCCTGTGTATATTGCTGTGTTTGTTCTGCTGGTGTTGTGTCAGGGATTCTTGTGTCCTTATTCATGAGAGAGATTGGTCTTTGGTTTT